ATGTTAGCTCACGATTCTATTTTGAATTTGAAAAGTATAGTCCTGTATATTTCTTTTCGATCAGCTAGTATTCGTACCATCTTAATGGAAGCATCTGTCAAGTTTAGGAACTTTGGCAGAACCTCCCCATCCTCCCCCGCAGCATCCAATTCAGCCGCATCCCACAAAGACAATACGGTTCCCACCAACTGTGCAAAACATTCTGTCCAGGTGCGATCGGGATTCGGTTTACCCTCTAAAGGCTGTTAGACTCTTGAAGGGTTCAATTGGCCATAATGCAAACTCACGAGTATTTTGATCGTCAAGCTTTAGGAAATAACCCTCTTGGTATAGCTTATTCGCATGACTGTTGAGGAAAGTAAAGATAGGCTGGAGTTCGGGAATCGTATCTTCGTTAACATCCATGAGGGGCGGCTGGTAGGTTTGCACCATAGACAACGGCCTAGAGGAACTTCGACTTGTGGTTCTGCGATGCGTCTCACTTGATATAGGAGTTATATCTATTGGGGAGCTATCATGATTAACCCGGGCGGGAGATGCTGGAATAGGCGTCGAAACAGCGCGAGCTCGAGTTCGTGTGCGGAAACCACCAACGTTTATGATATGATGGCTTTTATTGGTAGGGGCCGAAGTCAGCTTGCCGTTGGATGTGGGGGCCTGGTCGTTCGGAGGTGACGACGAAGGTGTGGGAGAGGCGCTATGTACGTTTTTCGGGTCACCGTTGTGCTGGAAATGGTGAGAGCCGGAGAACTGGGACATAAACGAGAGCACTTAAAGTTTAGAAGGGACTAGTTAGCATTAAAGGGACCTGGCATAAATGGTTTTAATGGGTTTTAATGCATGAATTGTGAAGAGTAAAATGGAAATAGTGGGACAATCAAAAGATAATGATAGGTTAAGAAAAAGATGTATGCTTATGGCGGGGATCAAAAGTTAAGTGAATTGAATATAATAGAATATAATATAAAAAGAATTAACTAGCGTGTGCGCAACTGTCAACTTTAAATCTTAGAAAGTTTAAAGCTTGATTGCATTTACAACAACCACGCATCAGCTTGTATGTAGTTGTATGTAAGGATAATGAGTGGATGAGTGGATATACCCAAGACCATGTCGAGTAAAAAAAAGGTGAATTATATGTTGTACATAGTATGACAACTTGTGTTAGATGGAGACCCGGGAATACGGCACCAACTTTCGGTGTGTAATAGCTGGGTCCAAGGAACAGGGTGTTTTCTTTGTTATGGCATGGAATATGGAATGCGACGATTGACGCTCGATTGACACTCGATCTATTCCCACTAACTGATATATCGACGACTTGTCGGATGTATGTATGAGGGTGTGGAAATAGGCGTCATACATGGTATACATGGTGTACATGTAGGTGTGTTTAACATAGATATGCTTGTGCAAGGTATGATGTATGATGGATGGATGGACGGATGGTGCCTCACAATGCAACTTGGAGGATTTGAGAGGTATTATTTGATTCTGACCAAAAGACAAGAAATGGAAGACCAAGGACATGAAGAAAATAATAAGAATAAATATACTAACCGCGATTCCGAGCCATCTTAATTCCCAGCTAAACAAACCCAGCAGCTCCAAAGCAAATAGAATAACCCAACAAAATTCTATTCCATCAGATGAGTTGGCTTAAACGTTTGTTCTCTCTTTCGAATACCTGGAGATGAAGGACAAGGGTGGCCCACAAAGGGACGAGTCGGAGGATAATGTCGATTTAATGCCGAGTCGGTTTATCGGTATTAAGAGGATGTTATTCAAGGTACTTAGATGGTATGTATCACGGTCTTGTTGCGCGAAAATCGAAAAGCTGCAAGGGAAAAATAAATCTAGATTATAGTCGAAGATGCAAATGACCAAAAACCCAAAAAATAGTCGAATTCCAAACTGTCTCGTAATAGGTGGGCGGGAACGCTGGTTTTGTAGCTCGGGTTCTTAAGTGTCTCCACGCGATACGAATTTGTGGAATGCGAGGGGAAGGGTACAGTCTCGGATCCCCGTATATGATGTACGAATCGTTATCCTGTAACAAAGATCAGGGCGGCCCGGCCTTGTCTTTCATATGGTGCTTCTCCAGATAAGTTCTAACCTAGGTACCTTGTTTAGTGAAGAGAAAAGCAGATTTAAGCTCAAGTGTAATTATGAAGCTTTATTAAAGGAGCCTGAGGGTTAGTATAAGTTGCCAGCCGCCGTCTACCGAGACGTTTCCGAAATGCGGAAGCGCCGGACAATTTGATATGTATAATTATCCTAGCAAGAGTCGATATGCGCGCTCGTCTAGATCCTATATTTGGAGCTAAGCGTTCGTCTTTCGATCTTTTAGTCTTCGGAATTTGATGAACGGTAACAGAACCTTTCCTAATTAAAAAGTTGTTTTAGACAACAAGATGCAAACGAGCATGTAGACGGATCGGGCGAGAAACTGGCTACATTAGGTCTATCTACATACACAATAACAAGGTGGTATGTTAACATGGAAAGAGAGAAAAAAAAAGCTGATGACAAAAAGGATGATGGAGCAGGGGCATACGTCAGTCCGAAAAGACGGTAGTGCATGTATTCGTTAACGATGGCTGGCAATTGGTAATAATAACTTCATATTAATGGGTACTCTCGCTGTGGTTCGGAGATACCGTGTCGTGTTCTAGTGACTACAAATATAGCTTAGCCTACCAGCTACTGCAAAGCTACCATAAGACTATTATAACATACATATACATGAGTAACAGTCTTGGTTGCAACTTGCAAGGCGTCAGCGTATATGCATACATACGTAAATACGTCCCTTGGGGTTGTACTATGGTGTATTGTACATACATATATGTACGCTAGACATGGATGTGTAGATCAATCCGCCAGTTTGCAGGAAGCAGCTTGCTAACAATAATTGCTGACGATGGCCGACCTGACGCCCCTGTTTTTGAGATGAATGCCGGGTCCTAGGTCTAGGAAGATCAACCTAATTTAGAGCCTAAGATCACTAAGATCATAAGAGGCATCCTTGAATTCCATGTTCCATCATGGCTTTGTGCCGATAGCCAGAGTCTTCGACAAGTAGTAAGCGGGTATTAAAGGAACCACGAAAATGATTGGACAGAAAGGGGCGTCGGGTGAGACGGATACTTCCATATGTGGATGCGTATGACCAGCCTCTATATTTTTTCTTATTTTTCGGATCCAAAGCTCAGTTAACCCAACCCGAAGATGGGCTATATGTGTCTCGGTGGACCTGACGTGGCATATGTAAAAGCAGGAGAAAATCCACAGCCTTGGCCTATTTAGGATCCGCACGCGCCTAAGTTGTATCGCAGCGGTTCGACTTTGCAAGACAGAACCAGTCACGAAACGTGCCTTAGGTACAGCAGCTGACAAGCAAGCGCTTGGTTACCTACCAGCCTTCTATCCGTTCATCCAGTCGAGACACTCAGCCTTCGCTCCACAAGGTGAAATTCTGGCATGCGAGTCACTCTGCGGACGTACAATACGGGCTATGCCTCCGAATAAGTTGATTGTTTCATTTCATAGGGAAGTTTCGAGCAGGTTCAAATTATACTGTCGAAATCGTACTGCGCCGCCGTAATACTGCGTACACCCAATTGCTTTGCATCCCACAACTCAGACACCCTAGTGACAGATCACAGGGGCCAAGTTCTGTCGGCCTTTATTTCGACCGCCGAGATCTAGCTTGTCTGGGCGTCCATTTCCCCGGCATAGAGTGGTGGGCACAGCATCGTCCACTTCCACGCCCAGGTATTTATTCGTATTCATTCGTTGATTGCTAGGCGAGTGGCCTCACGTACCTAAGCCACTGACGCGCGTTTTTGAGCGACCCTTCTCGATCCTTTCCTTCAATGAAGCAGGAAATTCCCAAATATGATAAGCCAAGGGCTTACCAGATAGATGCATGAAAGGAATAGTGATAAGCAGGTAGGTAAGGTAGTGGTACAATAGCAAGATCTGACAGGTACACTAATTTCCTTTAGAACAATTTTCTACGTCATACATGTACCTAGGTAGTTACCGGCTGGGGGCATTTGTTAGAAGCGGAACTAAACTCTAGTGCAACTCCAAAGGTCTAGAAGCAAAGCAACCGTCTAATGCTAATAGAAGATGAATATGATGAATATTAGTACCTGGTTGAGTATATTAGAAAAAGTTAAATTAAAGTTGTAGTTGGAAACCACCAAAACCACCTTAAAACTAGAATAAGTCTGTAAAAGAGATTGAGTTTCTTAAGATAACGACCTAGGTAATCTAACGTTTTTATTCCAAGTTACTGCCTCGCACTTTACGCTACTATTATTTACTGTAACAAATTAGAAACACTTGCCATGACTGAGTAAACGATCAAACTATAATCGCTAGTTACCTGGTAATCTATCAGCTTTATTGAACAGAGATCTGCAGTTTCCACCCCTCCATCTGCCAAGGCCACAGATGTAAAGCCAGGCATGTACATAATAGATGAGTATAGTATATGTATTACACGAATGCAAAATATTAGTTTCGACTTATTCAATACTCCATTTATTCTATTCAATGTTTTAAATATTCAATACATATGCGCCTCAAGTCATCTTAAGACGGCGACTCGATTCAAGGGTTATAGCTGTAAATATTTCCGATATAGGAGTGAATGAACGCAATAAATTCATCTTTCGGGTAATCGAAAGTGATGTCATCGTAATCCTAATAGTTGGATAGGTATACCGGGTTACAACCTAACTCTCGGGTTTTATTACATGTAACTACCTAGACCTATTAAATCTTCGCGCAAGAAAAGTAACTCTAACTAAAGTCAATTAACCCAGGATGGCACTTTACGATAAGCAAAGCTAAACTTCCTTATCAAGACGTCGTCGACGTTTAATAGAATAGCGCGTTATTTATACGTGATATCTATCAATCAAATCACACTTTTGGCTGCCAACCTAAGCGCCCTCAAGGTCTAAAACTAGACCTCGTTCGTGGGCATGAGAAGGTTGGCTCCCTCTTTTTTGTTGGCCTCTTATACTGGTCCAACGCGACGGACATTGTCTTCTATCCGATTAACACGATGGCATCGATATCCCCAACTTAATGCGGGTTGTAAAAGCTATTCTTCCACAACCACCGAAACATCCGGTAGCATCACGACGCCTCTTCCTGACTCCGAATTAAACTTACCTTTTCGCTTCGAGACCGGGTTTGCGCTATTCGCAAAACGCGCTCCGAGACCCTTTCCCCCACCGTTTCTCTCTCCTCCGTCAGGCTCATTTTCGGACCCTCTTAGTACTCATCACCAGAGTCGTGATAAGCGAGCCTTCGTAGATGGCGAGGTCATCCGCGGATGGACAAACGGCGATGATGCAGTTTATGCTAGTGACCATTTCATTTGCGCCAACGATGGGGTTGGCGCCTGGTCAGCTCGGCCGAGAGGTCATGCAGGGTACTTGTCCCACGGTCGTATAAGCTTTATAAATGGCAGTTCGCAATTAACAATGGTTACAGCTTATGGTCGAGGTTAATATTACACTTCTGGGTGGCGGCAATAGAAGAAGATATCGCAAAACCGCGATCCCCTGACCAATCATACCGCCCAGACCCTATGCATTATCTGCAGCAGGCATATGAGCGGACAATCGAAGCCACTTCGGGACCCAATGATTGTTTAGGAACCACCACAGCGGCCGGGGCTCAGCTCTTCTACAAGGCTGACAGCAGTAACTCAGCATCGTCCGTATCACCACTTTTATATGTAACAAATCTTGGCGATTCACAAGTCATGGTAGTACGGCCGAAGAGTCGGGAAATGGTATACAAATCGACAGAGCAGTGGCATTGGTTCGACTGCCCGAGACAACTCGGAACAAATAGTCCAGACACTCCAACCAATAACGCTGTTGTAGATATGGTGGAGATTATAGAAGGCGACGTGGTATTAGCTATGACGGACGGCGTTATTGATAATCTCTGGTCACATGAAATTGTCGAAAATGTATCTCAGAGCGTTAAGCGTTGGGAGGCAGGAGAAGGGGGCCAAGCTAGCGGCCCCCGTAAAGACGGCGCAGGTGGCGGCATGACATTCGTCGCCCAAGAACTTGTCAATGCTGCAAAAGAAATTGCATTGGACCCATTTGCAGAAAGTCCCTTCATGGAACATGCCATCGAGGAAGGGTTAGCTAGTGCAGGAGGTAAGTGTAGCATGAGTATCAACCATCTTTACTATATTATATATACTGACAAGCGTAGGAAAACCTGACGATATTAGCGTTGTAGCAGCATTGTGTCAGCGAAGCACGGCATCATGACACGCCTAATATAATATAACTAATACATCCTTCGATAAGACATACTACTGCCGTGGTACTATTGCCGTTGGGGGTTGACTGACTATCTCCAGCCATACAAAGTATCAGGGCAGTATCGACGTTATTTGATCCGGGTGTCACTTAGACGATTAGATATGGGATTATAGACAATTTACACTAGATGAGGTTGGGTTTGCGATATCAACACGGCGTTAGTGGTCGTCTATTACCAGACATTATGTACCTAAGGTAATAGATATCTTTATAGCGGGGTATAGTACTTATATGATATCCACATTAAAGCTAGCGATAAGAATTCTAAAAGTCTTATCTTTATCTTTATCTGCAATGCAGAATTCGAGTCCGATAATTTTGAAATCAAGATGTTCATGATCTCATAAACCGGACTCATCATCTCTTAATCAAGCAAAATGCCTCGAGCTAAACGATCGAAGCAATATCGGAAGCTCATGGAGCAATTCTCCATGAGCTTCGGATTTCGAGTACCGTACCAAGTCATTGTAGACGCCGACTTTATTGCAGAAGCAAACAAGTGCAAGATGGATGTGATGCGCCGATTAGAAGACACCCTACACGGTGAAGTCAAGCCTAGTATGTTCTTATATCCCTCTCGCTTTGTTTTAATCTTCTACTAACTAGTACCGGATAGTGATTACTCAATGCTCAATGCGACATCTCTATGGGCGGAAATCAGAACCTGGTGTGGAAGCAGCCATAGAACAAGCAAAGAATCAATTCGAGCGACGACGATGCGGTCACCATCCTGACGAGTACCCAGAACCACTAAGCACACTTGAATGCCTACAATCTGTTGTCGATCCGAAAAACAATGGGGTGAACAAGCATCGCTACGTCTGTGCCATCAATGATGATACTGTCAGGGCAAGGCTACGACAGGTAGCAGGGACGCCAATGATATTTATTAGGAGATCCGTCATGATTATGGAGCCAATGGCAACAGTCAGCGTGAAGATAAGATCTAAAGACGAAAAGAGCAAGTTCAGGGCGGAGCTCAAGGCGCCTACCAGCAAAAGGAAGAGAGAGGACGATAGTGATCAAGAAGATGTAAAACAAGCTGCGCCAAGACCAGCAGAGGCAGACAAATCCGAAAAGAAGAAACAGAAGGCTCAGGGCCGTAAGGAACCTAATCCCTTGGCCGTCAAGAAGAAGAAATCGAAGCCTGACGGAAACTCGGATAATCAACATTCGAAAGAACCAAAGCCGGAGGAAGCAGTCGTAACAGAGGCAGATCAGACAGAAGCACCGAAACGGAAGCGTATACGAAAGCACAAGAGCAAAGGTGTTTCTACTAATGACGAAACAACCACCATGTCTGGCAATGATAATGGTGAGGCGCATGTAGTAGAGGCAGAAGATTGAGAACTGAAAGTCATCCATCCAAACAAACCTAGCATATAGCGGGTAGTTTCTCAAGGTGCAATTATGAGGATATTGCACTCTCTATATTGTGTACCTATTTTACTGGCGTTTGATACCACAATTTTAAGTTTGCTTTCACATATGAAATATCATGCGGACATCATAGATCCATTATCAAGCTGACAAGAAGTAAGAAAATAAAGCCTTTAAAATTTGATATTCAAGGCCTACCCTAGCATAAGCAGCATTGAGGTACCTTGAATAATAATCTTTAACTGCATCTCGACGGGTCTCATGCATGTTCCGTCCTGAGCCGATACATAGTGGGGTTTTTTTACGGGATTTAGGTACACGTAAGTTAGGCCATGCTCAGCCTCATGTGACACCAAACCGGGCCCGTTCTGGGTACAAAAGCTAGCCTAACTCGGGTATCCATGTATGAATACATGGGGCTAAAATTGTTGACTTTCAACCTGCAGCAGCTAAGAACTATCCGCGCATTCCAATCCATAGATGTTATATTAAAATTTCAAATTGTTTTCCATACCTTAGGTACCTAACCTACATATCTTGTAAAATACTTGCATAAATCGAACACTTCCATTACTTCAAGTTATTAGCTCGTGGCCGAGGAACCATCGCTTCCAAGCTTTGACTTACAAGGGTTTGAATCAAAGTTCGGAGATCCTATCGATTTGCAATTCTGACGACTTCTTTTGAACCACTCTCCGCCTTATCACCGTGGGGAATGTAAATTCTACTGCAACCATATCACATTCGTAAATTAGCAGAGCTCCAACCGAACGGATTAAATAGGAGCACTCAAAACAGATATTACCTACACCGATTAAATACATGCGCAAAAGACGGTCCCATGGCGCCGGTAGGAGGAGCCCAGGAATTTGATGATTTTGGCCTACCTATTAGGAAATATGTAAGCCCCAAAGAGACGGAGCAAGATGGGACCAAAACCCAACCAATTGGTAAGACGGAGAGCAGCTCTGATGCTACCACGAAAGAGATTGCCACGAAAGAGGTAGAACCCTCACCAGAAATCCCAAATACTTCAACCGGCACAGAAACAGCAAAGAAGGTTACAAAGGAAGCAACAGATAATACCTTGAAACCCCCTAAAAACGTCACTAAAGTAGACGGCGCCTCTACTGACAATAGTGATAACGACGACTTCCAAGATGCGCCCTCTACCCCAACACCAGAGCCTGCACCTCAGGCTGAGTCTAAAGATGCCGACGAAGCCAAAACGCCTGTACCTACGCAAACCGAGTTTAAGGAAACGAGTATATCGAAAGAGGAGCCAAAGGAGGGTCCGGATTCCTACGAGAACCTAGACCTGTCGCAAAAGTCCAAACGCAAAAATACATCAAGCAGAGAAGTGCAGGCAATCTCAGGGCCGACGTTCAAGCAGATCGAGGCTGATAAGCACACGGACGAGGTTAAAACAGTTCCACGCGTTGACCATAGTCGAGACGTCAGCTTAGCAAGCACGAACCATGACGTTTCCGAATTCTCTCACCAGCAATTGACTGGACACCACGAAGAGAAGAAAGTTGATGATGACGAAGGCTGGCAGGCAATGCCAGCATATGCACCATATGATATTTACGACGACGATAACAAGCTTGTTGCTAAAGAACACAATCCTGAAGAGGATGAAAATTATGGCTATGGAGGTCTTGGTGGGGCTGGTAAAGGGTATACAAGAGTATTGGACGACGAAGATGCGGAGTCGGAAACGAGTATGGACGACAACACAAGGTACCTCTTTAAAGACGCCAAGAGTACAAGCATGACGGAGATGGACGAAGAGCAGCGAGATGCCGTCTCTCAACTGCAGGCTACTAAGGATCTGTTGACAGAGGGACAGAGGATAGCCTACGTTGGAGTTACTCGTCTAGAACTCTCCGAGATGGTCAAGGAGGCCGAGAGCGTTGAACGATTGAAGAAGATCAGGAAGGAGGTACAGGTGGCAGCCGAAGCAATGAGAATGTGGTCTCAAAAGATTATGGTTCGACTATATGCACATATGGAAATAAGTCCTGCCGAGCAAGTGATGATAGAGCAGTTGGCCGAGCATGGAGTAATGCCTAACGACCTCACATCGGCTCTCATGCAGAACTCAAGAGTCAAGAATCCAATGGCTGAGAAAACACCGTCGACCCCGAAAACACCTTCGACACCGAAGACGTCGTCGAAAAGTACGCGGTCATCCATTTCCACATCTCCCTCGGGAGAAGTAGCTGCAGAGCCACCTCCACCTTACGAAAGTCACGAGGGCGACGAAATGCCAGAAGTGAGAACACCTTCACAGTTACCGAGCACTGATAAGATTGATATCGATCTGCGGTGGACAGTCCTTTGTGATCTCTTCCTCGTGTTAATTGCCGATTCAATTTACGATGCTCGGTCTCGAGTGCTACTCGAAAGAGTCGGCAAAGACCTGGACGTCCCTTGGATAGATATCTGCAGATTTGAGAAGCGCGTCACTGATGCTTTAGAAATGCAACAGCAGGCCGAAAAAGAAAATTGGAACGAAGGAGAGCATCTTGAAAATAGGAGGAAACTCGCCCTCAAGAGGCGATACGTCATGATGGGCTTAGCCACCGTTGGAGGTGGCCTGGTCATCGGCCTCTCCGCTGGACTTCTAGCACCTCTTATCGGCGCCGGCCTTGCTGCTGGTTTCACGACTATCGGAGTTGGTGGTACGAGCTCTTTTTTGGCAGGGGCAGGAGGAGCTGCCATTATTACCTCTGGCGCCGCGGCCTCTGGAAGTTTTATGGGCGGCAAGGCCGCAAACCGACGGACAGGGGCCGTGAAGACGTTTGAATATCGGCCACTACATAACAACAAGCGCGTTAATCTCATTGTAACCATCTCCGGGTGGATGACTAGTAAGATCGATGATGTCCGTCTACCTTTTAGTACTGTTGACCCAGTAATGGGCGACATCTACTCGATTTTGTGGGAGCCTGAAATGTTGACTAGCATGGGCGACACTATTAATATCTTAGCAACAGAGGTAAGAGATTCCTGTTAATACGAATAGAGAGCACAGGTTAACATATGCAGGCCCTAACTCAAGGGTTGCAACAAGTGCTTGGGAGCACTATCTTAATTGGTTTAATGGCTGCCCTACAGTTACCAGTGGTTCTATCAAAGTTGACATATTTGATTGATAATCCTTGGGCTGTTTCTCTAGACCGTGCATGGGCTAGTGGACTTATCCTTGCGGACTCCCTGATTGACAGAAATCTGGGTACTCGGCCTATTACGCTGGTCGGTTACTCTCTCGGCTCTCGCGTCATCTTCGCCTGTCTCTTGGAGCTTGCTCGAAAAGGCGCCTATGGTCTAGTCCAGAATGTGTATATTTTTGGCTCGCCCATCGTTGTGAAGAAGGAAGAATTTATCAAGGCTCGTACCGTTGTGGCTGGTAGATTTGTGAACGGGTACAACAGAACCGACTGGATCCTAGGCTACCTCTTCCGCCTCACAAACGGTGGCATCCGCCGAATAGCAGGCCTAGCCTCCGTAGACGGAGTACCCGGTGTAGAAAACTTCGACTGTACGGAATTTGTCGTCGGTCACATGGAGTATCGAACAGCGATGCCTAGGCTCTTAAGAGAATGTGGTTGGCTCGTTGAAAGCGATGAGTTTAGCGAGATTGAGGATCCAGATCCAGAGAGGCACAGAGAGCGGCAGCGGGAGCTAATCAACGAGATCGAGGAAGCTCGTAAGGAATTAGAAAAGGATGGGTCCTCGAAAAAGGGCGGCTGGGGTATTTTCGGCCGCAAGAAGAGGACTTCTCGACAAGAATGGGAAGTTTATGAGGATAGTAACAAGGGGTTAGATGCATCTAAAACGGATAATAAGGAAGGTAATAACCATGGCGTCTTATTCGATGTCGATGCGATCAGGGCAGAGCTCGCGAAGGACGAAGAGATACAGGTTAAAGAGTTGAAGTCCACTTTACCACCGATGAAGCTCGATTTCTCGCCGTCTTCATCAACGAATAGCCCAAGAGATACCCTCCGCGGGACAAAGAGCTACGAGGGTATTTACAACAGCCCTCCCTTTGAGTACAGAGTATCTCAGGAACACACACCAACACTACCTCCCTCCCGGGCTCTCGGCTTTGGCATGGCGCCTCCAGAGGAAGAAATTGAAATGACTTTCGACACGGCATTCACAGAACACCACGATGTTACGCTATCCTCGCCACGGCCAGAGATCAAGACGGCGCAGACGACGCCAAATATAGCGTTAGCAGATCCCTGGGCCGACGACGACGACGACTTTGGTAAGGAGAAGGAAATCTCGATGACTTTCGCGTAGTCTATCTAGCATTGCGTGCCCATAGGGAAGTTGTAATACGTACGTACGCGACGCTTCAAATTGCCTGTCTTGTCTTGTCTTATCTTGTCTGTCTTGGGCTGTAGTGGCATACATATTTAGGGCACATTCATCGGCGTTCTTTAGTGTTTTGACGAGCCTTATCGTTCTTTTACCTTATGTAGAGAGATCTGGGTCACCTTTGGGGGGTTGGGCTACATATTTAGGTTTGCAGGTAGTTAGGTACCTAGTTAGTTAGGTGGTGTTGTAAACGGCGATGTCCAGACTATGGGATAGGTTGGGGGGAGAGTGCTTCGCTCTGGGATGGAACTGAATTGAACTGAGTGAGATAAGACATTGAATGTAGTATGTTGATTAATGATATATCGTAAAGTTATGTGCATAGGTAACTAGTATCGGAGCCGTGAGTGACGTGTTGCTACGATTTCTTGGCTATGCAGATAACCGTCTACTTGTAAGAACCATACGATCACCAACATTTCGAATACCAATATTATTCCCCTTAATAAGACTATTATATTTAATAGTTTCAAGATCTGTAATAAATCAGTTGGGTTTTCCCTTAACCTTTAAGCACCTACGTAGTCAATCGGTACCTAATAAACTGTTGGTAGGTAACTCTTAGATGATGGGTGTGCCAAAACTAAATAGCAAAAGACTACATGCCTATATTATCAAGTTTAGTTATTATAAGACTCATCAGTTATAGAAAACTAAATCTCTTGTCCGGTTTATTATAGATCAGTTAACATCGGAAAGAACATAATATCAACTACCTTGGATAGTCACTAGTATAGCGTAACGAGAGAAAATCATTTTCGCAAAACATATGCAACTTCCACTGAATGGTGATTTTCGCATGTTACAGGTAACACAATATAATAGATTGAGTTCCGGATGTAGCGATTCATATTTCTCATTCTATTAATAAGACCTGCCTACTTACGATGGCAAAACTGGTTATTGATCCTGCCGTATCTGTTTCTGGTTCCTAAAGGAAGCCCGGGATTGTCTTCTACCGTGCCGTGTATTTTATAAACCTTTCTAGAAAGCAAATCATTCTTAGATAACATCATGATGTTTATTATGGTCATCACTGGGTGAGTGCTTAAATTATTACATGTTTCTTGTTTGCTATGTTGATCTTTACTATTTAGTTTTCAATCCTTCTTACGTTCTCGTTTTGGCTTTTCAAGTGGGAAGCTATCGTCAAATTGAGTCTTGCATTATAGTCGTACCAGACTCTTATCGCTATAACTTACATCACTAGGTATTTAACTCGGATCCCGGATATATTAAAGCTTTATTTGGTTTATAAGCGGATGTGCATCTCTTTGTGCTGTCTGCTATTATACTATCCCCAGTGTTTAATCACACCTCACCGTGTACACATCCCTAATATGAATATTGGAAGTTGTTTACCTGGATGTTTTTCTTTAGTTTACTGTTGTGAAACTCGGCTCTAAAGATCTTTGAGTGATTAAACCGTGCTGACCCGAAAGCTCTTTTTAGCTTGAACTACCTAAGGTACGCTAAAGTTGTAATAATGTATTGATGTAACACAATGTAATAGGCTAATTTAAATGCAGCATTACGACCAAAGTTATATACTACCTAGGTAAACATGTATACTCCTGTTTGTACATGCAAACGGCGAGTTGGAAAATGATGTTCGAGCGGCTTAAATTTGGCGTTTTCTGTCGCACAAGGGTTGGTGGCATTTGGCTTCCACATGGTTTTAATATAAATGGCATATGCAGTGAAATATGTAGTGAGACGCGAAAAAGCCTAAATGGTCAGGAAGTTATCGAAAGAATGTGGGATATCAGGCCTTTAGGGACAATATTGATACCCCAATAGGCAACGGTGGGATTGTACATAAGTACGTAGACGGCATTACTATTTTTGCACTGATGGCTTAAGTAATAGGCTGCATTTGCTCCACTACCTAGGTACTTCATGTAAGGGGGACTTAACGGTGCTGCTGGGATACGTTACACCCCATGTCCAGGCGTCGAGGCGCTAAAAGACGCTAAACCTAGCCGAGGGTCTGATCAGCCGCAGTCTGATCTTTGTTATTTCTGGCTCAGCCCCAGTTTTCGTCTGACTGTGCAAAGTTCATCTTTATTAAATTGAGACCGAACTTCGTTTCTGAACGGGACTGCGGGAGCGAACGAAGAAAAAGATGCTTACCGCCGATGACGAGATATCGATAAAAGAAAACTATTCAACCAAGTCGAAATACCAATTTATGAAATTCGATGTAGGTATCGTTTGTTTCAATCTTCTTCATCAGCTATCCTAAAAGTCGTTTTCAACATATTGGCTACTCAGACACTTTCCTCGAATTTTAACCCTAGTCTCAAAGGATCTAGAACCCTTCACCTTAATGGACCCTGGCGTCAGACGGGTAACGCTGTCAGCAAGGGCTGAACCAATCATGAAAATCATGTTAGTTCGGGGTGCGGATCCCGCGATCTCCAAAAAGGTCCCATTTACCTAGCCGCTTTGTTCCTTCACCGCAGAGCGCTATTACCCATCAGATTTTGTTTAATGTACTGTAGACGTCCCTGTTTCGAGGTGGTATGACCCTTCTGCAATGCTCACCCTACTTGCCTACTATAGCATTAGCAGTATTCATATGTACATACAAGACTGGTGTACGCGGCACCTTGATACGACGGCCTTTATGCAATACCCCTAAGGTCTGCTATCTACCTGAGGGTATATTATCATCCACCATCGCGGAATTTGGCCGAGAATAGACACGCGTCATAGCACTGTATAGCATCATCAGCTAAGAACGGCTTATCATGGCTCTCTGGGCTCACCGAGTAGGGCATAGTTTTCAGCCTGTCCGTGAATTCGGTCGTATTTGCCATGGTCGAGCTGTGGTTTTAGGGCATTGGCATAATTCCTTGGGCCATTCCTAAGAAATAGCCTAGCGGGCTAGGCAAAACCGGGGTATGGCTCCATAAGGCAGGCAATAGTAGTCTACCCTATACCGTATGTACGTGTGTCTTGCAATATCTATACTCGTAGAAGCGTCCTGCGTATGTAGAAAAGCACGGAGATCTCGTGGGATGGCGTTTATCTCTATAGGCTCGTAACTGATGGTGCCATCCATCCTATGAACTAGTATAGTTTAGGAGGCGCAGTCTGGTGTCCATTGGCTTACTGCATGCTGAACATGGTTGGTGCACTTGTAACAATAGACCCGGACCCGCACATCTTCATCCATTCCCTAGCGGGCACAGCTGAGAGCTGACAGGCCCCCCTGCTCTTCTTGCTTTCCTTTCCTTCCTCTCACGCCCAGACGAATTTCTCATCTTTCCTGTTGTTTCTTCGATTTGGATCTTGTTTAGTGTGCTTTCAACTAAGTTCCCAGCTGTATCATTGGTGCAACGAACATTCATACACACGAAAGCGAGCGCACTTGGTTGAGATACCTTTAATGTTGGATATGTGCTGAGATTTGGGTATCTGGGCTTCTGGGAGTTTTATGACAACGACATCCCGATATTTGCTCACACGACGATGCGGATCGATGCCTCGAGATTCGGGATCCTGGCCTCTTTAGTAGGGTTGGTGGGAGCGGAAGATAATGCCTCCCGTACTACTGGTGGAGCTATGCCGGCCCCGACCGGCGGGACGGGAACGGCGACGATGGGTTCTTCCCCGAACTCAGTAATTCAAGTGCAGAATCTTCCGACGCCCGCCATTTATAAGCCGCAAGGGACGGACCAGATCATATATTTTAGTAAGGGGCAAGGTATCAGCGAGTTGAACGTTAGTGCTATATACCTAAAGCGATTTAAAGATAAGATTACCGTTGCGATGGGAAAGATGAGCGGTACAAGTCAGACAGGTACTACGGCAGGTTCTTTCTTGGATGGGCAACTAGTAGAAAGACAAGACCAGTTCCCACCAAGCTTTTTCCCGGGTATGCTATAAGACTTGTTTGTCACCTTAACTGCGTAATGCTAATAAAATGAAACAGCAACTAATGAAAGCTTGACTCTTATGCTTACGGGCGATCTTACGCTTACCTACGGCGATAACCTTATGCAGCCTTTATACTACGAGATTCAATGGGAGAATACCACATCTAGTGGTACCAGTTACAGTCCTGTCCTTGCCGTTACCTACAGCGAAGGATACAGCGAGGCCAGCCGTCTTATTAAAAACACCGGAAAGGAGTCAGACCCGGCATTTCAAGAGGACATCGAGGGATCTTCGAGTAACCCAGAAAGTTCCGGGGCGTCGACGGTTACGGCAACGCCCGCTGCTGAAACGTCTGCTCAACAGGCTTCAGAGGCGTCTCCCGGTAATCGAGGGTTAAGTACCGGCGCTATTATAGGTATCGCCGTGGGCTGTGCCGTCATAGTTATCATTATTGTAGTGGCCTTGGTATGGTTCTTTTGTCTACGGCGCCGTAACAGCGGCGAACGCGTTGGTGGCACGGACTACACGGCGGCCTCAGGTTCACACGCTATGATCGCGGATAAAGAGGTGGCCAATATATCGGAATCATCACCACGCTCAGCATTCCCGCCTGATCATAGCAGACAGTTGCACAACCAACGCGACAGTATAGTGCGCCCTGACGACTCGTCTTATGCGCCCTATTCGGACCGTGCGCCTTCACCGCCGCTGCCTCCCGGAGCGGCGTTTGCTACGAATAGCCAGTCAGACCTAGCATCCGCCGGTCGCCCCAGTACGACAACACCTCCGTTCCAGTCCCGCTACGCGCATCTGATCGAAGAAGGTATGACGGAAGAAGAGATCCGAAGGCTGGAGGAAGAGGAACGGCACCTAGACGCGGCGATCGAGGACGCAGGACGAAGTAGCCGCACGGCACACCAACCGTGACAACGGCAAACAACAATAGCGTAGTGATGTTCTTAGCAACCCCTGATGTTTTTTCAAGCGGTGTTGGAGTTCTAATGGGTCTTATATCATGCTAATTTTATGTGTATGTGGTGGATGTGAGAATATGTAGGAGAAGGAGCAAGAGCAAGGAAAATTTACCCTCTTACGCGTATATATGACTTCATACTTTCGTTACTCCTATATACCCCCGTGTAGCAAGTAGAAAGGAAAGGCTTTTTGAGCGGTCTGAACTGAGGAACGATGTAATATGTCTGTTCCGTGAGGTTTAAGATAGGTGGTGAGCTGGTGTGAAAGCTTCAAGTCTGACTGGCTTGTATATATAATACATATATACATATACGAATCTATTGGATTATTTAATTGTTTACAGGATAGTAGCTGGGGATATGTATGAATGTCTTTAGACGTTGGAGGTCGTATATATTGCCACGTGATTAGCCTCCTTTCGAGCCGTGGTTACACTTGTGCGACACAATAAGCGGACGTAGAAGCCTAGATGTTAATATGGTTGATACCTATTATAGGAACCATAAATAAGATATAGTAGTAACTTAGTTAGCCTCTTGTATTTACGGTATAGTATGATAAATGGTCCAACAGTATAGCATCTTGTCTCGAGTACAACCGTAGAAGGCTAGGGTTAACTTTTGCATAATCCATAGCAGTCCTACATATTCTTAAGACAAAAATTACCCGTGAAGCACTTCATAAACGCCGCTAGATTTGCAACTTTCATTAAGTCATAGATATCATAGTATTACAACAGGCTCTTGTCCCGAAGCTTGCTAAAAATAGACAGAGATACACCATAGTAAGTAATAGAATACCTATCGCCCTTCAAACCAGTATCAATAATGTTTGAGTAGCCTTTTCCCCTTTTCAATAGCTTCAAACCCTGGGTCAATGTGTAGGATAGCGGATCATGAACGGCCAAAAGTGAAGAAGCGGCCGACCATATTGCTCGCGAGGTTGCCTGCGATGTTACCCGAGTAGAGAGCGCTGCCGGCAATATTGGAAGCCTGGCTAAACTTGTCGCAGCGCGAGAAGGCGAGGGAATTTGTGATCGTTAGGGAGATCGCGATGGCTGTTTGGCCAATTGTCAGCTTTTCTTTTTCTTTCTTCCTTCACTATCATTCTACCACGAGAGACATACCAACAAGGGGTAACCACATGAACTTAAGGCGCACAAAGGCCAGGATAGCTAGGGCGACCCAGAGCACCGGTTGCGCGTAGATGGCCAGCCAGAAGAAGCGACTGTCGGTGGCGTTAATAGTGCGAACCGCCGGATCGCTGCTCTCGAAGACCCAGCGGCTGTCGCCCGAGGAGGGGTCGACCTCGTTCCACCAGCGCAGCCCGACTAGTCGCCGACCAGCGATGTTCTTTAGATAGTAGAAATCGGCAGCTAGTAGCAGGATCGTGATGATGAAGATGAGCACCATGTTATCCGTGAAGATGACGCCGAAGAGGTATACGAGAAGCGACGCTAGGTGGGAAGTCTCAGGTTAGCTTATCTTGCTACACTACGCTATATATATAAGGTATCCAAGGAAAAGCGTATAAAAGGTCGTCGACTTACAGATGCGGAATGTGAGAAATGTTAACAGTGTGATGGGATGCGAGCTGAGGCGCCAGCTCAGCACGCCCTGCTGAGGCGGCGCTGACTCCATTCGGGGCGGGTTGTGGTTATTTCTCTATTTATGCGTATATAATAGGAGGGATGTGTCAGGTCAATTGAACATAGCTATTGTCGAGTTCGAGCTTGATGTTATGCTCGTAATGGTTGTATGTTGTATGTACGTTTTTAGTTGAAGCTTAGTTGAAGCTACAGTAGCGGGATGGCGGGCGGATTTAGAAGCCACATGCACCTGCGCAAAGGACAATCTGCAGCTGCAGCTTGTGTAACAGCGGCAGGGGGCCTCGTTCTTCCGATATGCTGTCATTTCTATTATGTGACACCGAGTATTGCATATAATCTTGTAGTTATTCTTATAAACAAATTGTTCATCTACACTAAGATCTAAGAGTATGAAGCACGACTTTCCAGATTCAACTCTAACTTGGAAGTATATGGCTACTAATTACATGTAGTATTAATTACGATGGATGCAAATTCTTTCTCATTGTTCAATACTTGGCTTAGTTAGATATAATAAGACAAGGTACCTATGGTAACTAATCCCTAGTATGGATACGCTCGAACTTCGTCTTCGCGACTAAGGTCCAAGCCCCTCGCTATCTGCTCCTCATGCTTCTTATCCAGGTACTCTAGTAGCACTTCTCCGTACCTTTCTTTCCCCTTATACCGGCTTACATCATCTCCCCAGCTTCTTATCGCACTTGCCAACCGGCCTGGTACGTAATCCTCCTCGGCGACCTCCGTGATCGGGTGGAAGTATGTTCGGATTGTGAATACCACGCCCCCTGTTCGTGGTAGCCGTCGCAGTGTCTGCCTTTCGGAGCGGAAGTAATGGTGCTCGACAGCGCGGTTTTTCTCTGCTGTATTCCAACTCACCTCTGGCGCGTCTTCTGATCCGATACTCCAAGACCACCCCAGATCGTCGTCTACTTGCAGGAAGTAGTTGTTACGCGCTACCATCTCATCCGGCCGTAGTCGTCGGAAGAAGTTTAACATGCCCTTCTCTAACTTCTCTCGGTACTGCGGTACATCCCCGGACGTGTGGATCTCTGGTAACGCCATACCGTACTTATCTTCCAGTCGCCAAAATCCTGGTAGCAAGACTGCCCCTGCTAGAAGATAATACTGGCCATCTGGCTTCTCGATCATGATCGCCAGGTCGTCTTGTACTAGCCGGGCTGATATTTGCATCGGGTCCTCTGCTAATGGCCGCGTTACGATATCAAAGCTTTCGCCGGACCAGAGGTTGTCAATCCCGACATCCGTCCGCTTGTACAGCGACGGGTACCGCGCCGGCAGGTAGTCAACTAAATCTTCAAGAAGTTCTACCGCAGCGGGATACGCCTCAGGCGCTGTCCTACAGCACTTATGGCCACGCTCCTTGATACGACGTGCCTTGTCCGCGTGATACCGTGGAAAGTGATTATCCAGCTCAATCCAATCGACATGTTTGAGCGATCGAAGTCCCATGGTTACGTTGTATTTGGGACCATACCGAAACGGCCTGTACGGAAGCGGTTTCGTGTGCTCGACTGACCAATTTGGATATGGGTCTGGCTTCGGCATGCGGAAGTCCGATGGAATCCATTTACCCAATTCGCGGTTTTGAGCATTGCTTCTCTTCGATGCCGCCTTCTCAAGACCTGGTGTAGTTGGCGTAGACGGGCGCGTGCTTTGCTTGCTGAGCCTCTGTCTCCGAATTATATACACCAAGATCGTGGATAATAACACAAGCGCGAGTGTTCCAGCATAGATAGATTCTTTGAAATGGTCTTGGGAAGAGAGCATACCCCAGTAGGCCTTGGTCGTAGAAGCGCAATCACTGCTCAACCCCCACAAGCTCTTGTAGCCTTGGCTGGTTTGCCCACATACTTGCTCATCCTCCTGGCCAAACATCATACAGACTACTGTATCTTCAATGTTGCTATTATATACAAGAGGTTCGAATCGAAGCTAACATCCCATTCACTTCGTGATTCTATATCAAAAGTATTGCGTTCAAAAGAAGCCGAACATCTAGAGATATATATATATATAGGACAGGGAGTTTGTCCATGTATACCGTTCTCGGCTGTGTATTATTCTACGCCGATGAAGCTAATTTTGAGCCAACTAAGCTAAACCAAAAATGTAGCAACCTAATTAAGAAAATTGGACGAGAAAGCTTAAGACAGGAGATATCTCGGGTTTGAGACCGACGACCAAGTATGCTCGTTGCTCATGACCGTTCTCGGCTGCGTCACTAGCGGCGGGAGAGAAGATAAGGTGTGCGAGTTAGGAGATAATAACTATAAAATAATCCGGGGACCTATCAGGTTGAATATGTAGGTCAGTTTAGGTAAGGTACGGTTGACCAGACAGGGTACTGTGCCAAAATGAAAAAAAAGATCGCGCACTAGACTCAGATGGGTAAAAGGTCACGGACTATAATTTAATATATACTTTTAAGCCTCGTACGGTTATTTTTATAATATCAATATTCGTATCCACACATACCTATACCTATGTATACCGATACTTATATGAATTCAAGAATAGCTTCATGAATACTGGTCTTAAAATGACATAATGTATATCATTTAATAGCCCGAATTGATGCGAAAACGATGATATCAATTACAGTATTATATGATACGAATCAGGTATTATATGACTTAACTACCCAATAAATTATAATATTGTATTAAAAATTGTCTTGTCAAAGGGTATCACGTGCTTGCTTGCGAAGCAACACAATTCAATTATCTTACCTTTGTAAAAGCCTAAATAACATACAACTTAAATTACTAAACAACATGCACCTTAGGTTATTATTTTCGCATTAACTATGGCTATCTATTAATAGTAATTATATTATTTAAAATTGGGTAGTGGTAAAGTTATTTAAATTTGTATATGCCTACTTAAGGTTTTTTGATAAAGTTGGAAAAATTACGTGTGGTAACTACCTACCTACCTATGTAAAAAGTTGATCTTTCCATTAGTGCTTTGTACTTTGTATATATATTTATATGTAAAGATACTTACTAGCTATACCTAGCTAAACAGCCCCACCTAGCGCTGCGCTACTAATTCTCATCCTGGGGACCCTGTAATCATCCCTAATGTAGTCACGTGATACCCTTTGCTGGGACAATCTTCAACATAATATTACTGGGTAAGTCATATACTACCTGATTCGTATCATATAATACTGTAATTGATATCATCGTTTTCGCATCAATTCGGGCTATTAAATGATATACATTATGTCATTTTAAGACCAGTATTCATAAAGCTATCCTTGAATTCATATAGGTATAAGTATAGGTATGGGATTTTTGAATACAATTATATATATTACGTATAAGGTAATAAGATATGTACTTAAGTAAGATAAGCCTTTTTCCCACTTGAAGGTGTAAAGTACCAAGCTAATTGGATAAACCCGTGCTTAACTACCTGTTTAGGCTTAATTTTCATATTTTTTTCATTTTGGCATAGTACCCTGTCTGGTCAACCGTATAAGGAGATGTTTTTAATAATGCAAGGACAAGCTGGACATAATAGATATATGTGATGCAATCTTCCCCGCCGAGGCGATAGGAGTAAGTCTAAGCCGTCCAGTAAGGTTAGCCCCCCTTATCGCGCGTGTTACCGATGATAAGGTATAAGACATACACTTTACCCTCTGTAGATCTATCGAGATATATTAAATGTCGTGATCGTCTACAAACTACTTAGGTGTATATCGTCTATTTCTAGTGTTAGATATAAACATAGTACTATTAAAACTATTGTAGGTTTTTTTTCCTATAGTTATCCAACGTTTTGGGATAGTTATTTTATTTTCATCTTGGCTTTCTAATGTCTTATCATTGCTTAATTAGACTAGAGTTAGTAACAGACATGGAGATGTAGATCTATTTTAGTACTATTATCAATATTTATAATTCAATATTCTCCCCAGACATAACTAGTCAAAAGGCATATACGTGGAACTACGTAAGGTATTTAGCTTTATATATAGTAGAAGACTCCTATATATATTTAAAAGACGTAGCCAATGCGAGTTCAGACACAAGTAGCCTTTGCTGAGTATCTAACTTGGTCTTCTGCAAGGCTCCGAGAAGTTACGAAACAGTCATAAAAGTTAGATGTTAGAACGCAATTAGTTCTACGTTATGCTATATTCTTAGATGCACCAGATACGCCCGGTACCCTTTCACAGCCTTCATGCATTGTGGATAGAATGTGCGAAATTATGTTGGACGCTCAACCCATAATCCGAGATTAGCTCTATAGGGATCGTAGAACCTCTGCCACTGCTGGCTGCAAGCTAGATCTTGCAAGAAAAGTTCCTCTCCTAGAGAGCAGTACACTTCCTTTTTGGGATAATCGTTTGAAGATTTCGAGAGCCTTGCGCTACAGAATAAATTTATTACACACACCGGTCTTCGACTGAGCTATCTTAAGAGCTAAAGGCTCAAAGGATCTCATCGTAGGAGGGCGTTACTATTGGCCGGAAGAGCCAGGAGAATTTATTAAAAATTAGCATAGATAACGGTTTCCCTTGTGATTCCAACTGCCGGAATCAACTTTATAGAGAATAGTACGACATTATTATAAGATATTACCTAGGATTCCTGACGAGGCCGGAATATCGATTGCCGGCGATTCGGGCGGTGGTTGAAAGACTTTAGCAGATAAATAGCGACGAATAGGGATCCGGCCTCTGGCGGGATGATCTTCTGAGAGACCCCCTATTTAAAAATATTTTTAAACCCAGGCCCTCCAGCCTCTTCACAACACTACCTATTCATAAGTTCCTCGTCCTAGTCCCAGGGTGCTACCGAATGCGTAGTAGAGGTTGAACGCGTGTCTATATTGTCTTTAGAAAATATCTCATAATTAGCTCAACGCTAAATCTCGAATACATTCATACAAAAGATATTTGTTATCTAACAAGATCTTACCGTTCTTCCATGGACCGGACTAGCCAAACCGAATTAGAGATTTACACCCAAATGTGGGAGGTAATCGGGGAGAGGGCATGAAGGCCTATATTTCTATTACACAAGGAAATATGATTGGATCAAAGAGACGGCATCTCAGTACTACGCAGGCAGGAGAGGACTGCGCCGTCCCTCCAAAAGTACTGATTGTTATTTCAGCTTGAATGGATCCCGGTTCGAAGAACATAGTCGATGGGCTAAGATATAGGGGGTTAGGAGAAGTGGACAGAACAAGATCCTCATAGGAGACTATATTGAACTCGATTTCAACACTGAAATCTTAGCGAGAAGGTATGCGAAAGTTCCCGTGCTCTGTGTACATATCAAGGGTCTCTGTCACTACGTTTTTGACATCTGTCTATGCAGTGAAAGCTTATTGGTATGCTGATAAGATGGGGGTATATTGGGGGTTGAGCCAGTTTAAATACTCCTTTAGTAATAATTGTGCGTTTGATTTCCAAAGAAAACAATCCGAAAGACGGGCTCCCTAATATAAAACGAAAGGGTTGCCACTATACATTTTAATCGCACTTACCTTATAGTATTCTACTTCGCTACCTTTCCGGACTCGTCACCGCCATTACTTCATCGCCGTTGAACAGCTCTATCATAGGCTAGGTTCCAATTTAACCGTCCCTAATATTACCTGCTTCCCTATGACGATTTTCACAGCGAGATGTGTCCTATACTACCGATTATCTCTTGTATCTACTGATACTTGGCTTCGACAACCTTCTGGTAAAACAAAATTTCTGTAACTCGTATGGCTATGTAGCATTATCTATCCTACGTGATATCTAGTTTAGTCTAACTGAAATGTGCTTATACTATCTTAGGTACTGATATAAGCAGTAAGGCTTAAAGATATACCAGTAACCTAAGTGCATGCTACTGTTATATCTATCCGGACATGAAAGGACATTATCAGGTAGGCATGCATTGCTAAAGCAGCAGTGATAAAACTTCATTAATATTGTTTTCGAGTTTAATGCCACAGCAAGAAAACTGAATACGATTTCCGACCTGTGGCAACCCGTTGCCATCTGTAGGGCGAGCTAGTGTCGTGAGATTCCCTCCTCGTTGCCCAGCACCTGATCTCGCAGGTGGCAGAAACCTAGGCAACGAGATACACCTGCCCAAGTACCTGTCCTCGAAGTAAAAATTATATATCCTAATTGCAGTCCACCTTTCAACCGACGCCCCTCGCTTGGGCGACTTGAGGTTAGAGAAAACCCCACTGTGGTGTCTTATGCTGAACCGTTCTTCCCAAAGAACGTGACTTGACAGCAGATGCCTAACGAAGCCGGTTTTTCGTAGGTCTCGGATTCGAATCCCCTGCCCCTATCCGAGGGGATTCGAACCTGGGACTGAGCTTTTTGCTTTTCTTCCCTTTTTTTGGCCCCCTATAATTTCAAGTGCTCGTATTGGAGTTTTAAGAAGCCTTTGCGAAATGAAGGTATGCATGCACTATGTGCTCGTTGACAATTCTGCACGCATCCGCGATGGCGCACTCTTTTTTCGCCGACTTATTCGTAAAATTGCAAATAGAGTCAACGCTCTAGATGAACTTTCGTACATATCTAACTCTCATCACTATATAAAATTAGTTACATTGAGAATTACTTGGACATCGCGTTCGGCAAAAGCCACCGAGTGCCCAGCCTATCCCTAAATCGTTTTCGTATGCATCTAACGATAATCTGTCCTGCAGGATATTTTTAGGTTCTTCTTCCCCGACCTAGTAGAATCGAGATCTCCCGGATAACTTGGCCGTACTGATACGATGAGGGGCTGAAATCCGCCATGAACTCACCGAAGCCATAACGATATCTCCCGAGCTCGTAAGATGCTCGGTCTACTGTCTTTGTTACCTTCATGTATGTATGGAACGCCACAATTCCCATATTGTATACGGGAACCTGCTACACTTTCCAATAGTTTCTCCGAACATGCCTATCACAACGGGCGGCTAGGCGGCACTGGTTTTGGTTTTATAGGGTAGCAGTGAAAGTAGCGGACTTCTTCATCTTTCCATCAAATTAATTGATGGATCGGTATTCGAAGGATTCATGAATGCGCCTCTAGGATGTAACATATAAATCCTCCGCCGTCTTCATCCGAAGCGATCAAATCCTTGCTGGTGGGGTTATCCGCGTGGGCTAGGAGGCTGATGTATACATAAAACTGCGTGGGCTCTGCCTGTTTGCGGTTCCTCCCGTGGGATCTGGTACACAGCGTCACGATTAAGCTTACCTACTGCATGTCCTTTCGTATGCCGGAATAGTAGGCGAGAATGTGATTATTGCGGGATGCATGAGTTAGATACTTGGAACGAAGTATCGTTGGAGCATCACGCATCGCTGGATATTTGTGTACCATTATTGTCTGCGATGTAACGGAATTGAATCATGTTTCCGGTTATCTTATAGTTATTAATTTCTAAGATAGCAAGCCTGCAAGTCTAAGACAAATGAGTGGCATTGCTATGGTGGCGATGTGGTAATGTACATAACGAGCAGGGGATATTTGTATATACAGGCCAAAGAAGCTGGTACCGAGAGCCGTCGTAATACGATTGGGCATGATATGTCGAGTCAATGGAACCTTGATCTGACATGCATGTACACGATCATCTCTTTTTAAGGCCTTGTCAAGCCACTCCCGCCTTTAGTCTCGGGTATTCGACTCCGGTTTACGTTCCATGCAAGTAAGAGTTATGCAGTCGCAAATCGAGCTGGTTTACCAACCCGACGTTGCAGCACATTTGATATAAGTTCTGTTGTTCGCCTCAGCGAGCTCTATTTTCGATAGCACGATTATTGGCATTTCGTTTCTGGTCCTTTGTCTCTTACGAAAAGATTATGGGATGCTTTTTTCTATTCGGGCCGTTGCAGCTGATTGACTCGAAGAAAGGTTCACGTGTCAGATATGTTGTGTAGGTACCTAGTTGTCCGAGACTACCAAGTAGGAGAGCACTGCAGTTTAGATTATTTATTGAAATTGGGGGCCATGAACTATGAAGATGATTCGTTAGGATACTCGTTCTAGCCTTAGCCTTTCATGCTGTGACCTCGTTTGCCGTTTAATATTCTTACTGCATGTAATCGGCCGTTGCCGACAACCTATCATTTCTCAAATCTTTACCCCCCATCTTCTACATACGTTCTAGGTATCAAGGATTCCATGGTAGACTTTCCTGTCCCTCAGGCTGCTTCCATTTGAAACCATCCGGGATTTCAACTGCTCGGTCTCGCAACCACTCTTGCGCCGCATCCCAATTCACACATTTGTGCATAGCATTAGAATTGGGAGTCGGATTTTGATGCTCCAGGACCCAATCATATGTCACCAAACCTGTGTCGAAGTTACACATAATACTCTGCCTGATGTAGTCCACACAATGCTCAAAATGTCGCTCATATAGCTCTGGGACATCTTGGACCTTGCGTAAAACGTCTGGGAAGTAAGTACGATGGTGGTCTTGCCAGAGGAAATGTAGACAATGAAGTTGATGTGTTCCGACTGTCGTTACCATGTATCCACCTCCAGCTTCTTCAGGAAACTGGACTGCGGTACGGGTTGAGTGATTGACTTTCTCATAGTCTGAAGCGGAGACAGAGATCATGCCGTATTGCATAATTGAGTGCCAGGCTTCTTCAACGGCTGGGGTAGGAGGACCTTTGAAGGGGGTCTCATACCAGAGTGACCCGTTGAACCGGACCGTGATGTAGGGCTGAGTAGCTAGGGCCTTGTTGACAGGGGCTAATGAGTAGTTGTAAGTTGAACCGCTGACATGTGATAGAGGTAAGATAGGAGGAGACTCTGGGTACTTACAGTAGTAATTATGCATGTCCCAACATCTTGCAGCTATGAGAGCACCGTCATAGGAGCGTATCAAAAGGATAGATAGACTGATAATAGCAACCAAGCTCACAGTATGAGCAATCCAATGATTCCTCCGAGTCTGGTGACGCGTCGTACAATGTTTGCATTCAGCGTATTCCTCTTCTTTATCATCAGCGGGTGCTGCTGAAGGAGACTCTAAAGAAGAACCTGGAAGGGGGCGATAAGCAAATTCTAGAGGCATGGTCTCGAGTGATACTGAGATATGAGTTGGTAGTAATTAAATTTAGAAGAGCCGCCTAATGTAGTAAATATGTAGTTGGATAGTGGTAAGTGTGTTGGTGAAGTTTTCCATAAGCACTTATGGATAGAGCTTCCAAGCTTGAACATCGCACGATGATACTCGTCTTAGAAGTAGCGGACTTTGTTATCATTCGCTACAATCAAGGTATTATAGTATTACAGGTAGTGAGTGTGGATCTAGGTACAATCTTGCGATGGATCATCTATAAAGATTTGGAGTTGGTTGAATTCCCCGCATCTGCTTACATGTTGCTTGCGTCTGCAGTGACATGTTATCTGCTCAAATCTTGGGCTTGGTAACTTTCTCTTGAGGATCCTGCCGGTAGTGATCGAGTGCCAGGATCTATATCGTGCCGCGAGATGAGACGAGTTGCGAAGATAGCTTGATAATAGAATACTTTGATTGATCACTTGATGATACATTCGGGAGCTATTTCGTCGATGGTTTATCTATTCATATCTCTTCGAAGCTTACAAGCCCACCTCTGCTTACGTGGTATATGTTTATCCAGAAGAAAACCATAGGTGGGGGCACAGCATATGCATTGCAGCACTTGAGATGATGCGATAACTTGGGAAGACCTACCTCATAGGTTGGTTCGGCTATGGCACTGCAACTCCATAAATTTATATTTCGAACTATTAACTTAAAGTGAACACCAAAGGTGTCGGTTAGGTCTTGCTCTCCACATGTAAGCCGGCCTAATGTATAGTTCTCAGTTAAGCAGCCAGGGATCTGCATGTTTATGAGTCCCCATCGCGATTTCGCTCGTGGGGAGCGGGGATGGGACTTTCTCCTTGGATCAGCCTTATGAACTGGCGGACATGGCAACTACCGAACGATATAAGACTGATGAGGTATAGAAATGGTATAAATGAGATGTTATTCGGAATGCTATTTCCATTATTTTCCTACTTCAACCATCATCGGAATCCACACTACTTGTTCGTTACATTATTTCAAGTAAATCTACCTCTTGCCACTCCCAAATAATTCCTTAGGTTAAACACTTAACCCTTCACCATGAAGAGCTCCATTCTACTCCCGCTCATGGCCGCGATCGCGATTGCCGCTCCGGCACCGAAGCCTAAGAGTATGCCCCCCGGATTATAAGTGATCACTAGTAGTAGACACTGACTTCATTAGACTTCGAGGCCGACCCCGCACTCACTATTGGAACCCCGAACGACTCGTCATACGCGACTAAGCGTGAGACGTTTGAGGCTGACCCTTTACTACAAGTTGGGGTTTCGGATGAGTCGTCATATGCCGAGAAGAGGGCCAACTTTGAGGCTGATCCATTGCTACATATCGGAACTTCGAAGGAGTCCTCGTACGCTGAGAAGAGGGCCAACTTTGAGTCTGACCCCGCGCTCCAGGTTGGGGATAGCCTTGAATCTTCATACGCTCAGTAAAGGGATCGCTATTTTAAGTCTGGGCTAGATAAGGGGGAATGATTACTTGCTTGCCCAATGCTCCATGGCAGCGATAATCACTCGTTATATTCATATTTGAGATGGTTGTAAACTCAGGTACCTAGGTTACCTTTCATAATTACATTACCTAGGTACCTGATATGAACATATGAACATATGTATGTATGAACATAAATGTGGCAAAGAGTCATAATTTGCATTATTGACAGGTCCCGCACTTATAGTCTTATGTACATAGTACCAATGTACCCCACAACGGGAGCTAATGCAACATTATATAGTGGGCCTTGTAGTACGTAGGTACAATCTCCTCTTATGTAGAAGTTGGTTCTGATAAGTATGATTGGTACGTATTAATATGTTGAGTCGTACAAAGTAAGAGTAGAAGCTTTTCGTTTGATGAATTATGAGTGGCGATTGCTACACAACACATCTTTACAGAGTTGTTAATTCCCCGACCTGGGGGAGTAAAAGATCAGCGGGTGGAATTGTGATGGAGTACGAGTTGATATCAGCTGAGTAGTATTACTTCAGAATAAGCTTAAGGGGGTGCATCTTGACGCTGAATCATCCCCCGACGTTACTTCTGTGTAACCATCCTTCGGCTGGGCATAGTATGCTATTTGTGTGACTTGTGGGTTTTAAAGTAAAGGATAACCAGTCCTTTGAATTTCTATGGGTTTTCTTTTTTTTCAGTTACTACGCAAATTTCTAATCCTAGCCATTCATGTTGCGACAAAGCTACCTCATATATAGTACATACCTACATACATAGTACCTAGATAATTTGTGCAACGTGTTGTCGGAATTAACTCGGTCAAAGGGGAACCACCATGTTACCACCCTCATCCTCGTCTTTCATACGTGCTAACTTTTGACAGAAAGAACTGCGCCTTCTCATAGCCGGACCCCAACGAATAAATGCAAATGGGATCGGAGTCAAGGCAACACATAGACATCCCAGTAATGTACAGGCCCAATCAGTACCTAGATTCTCATATAGGGGATATGTGGTAAGAGGAATAAGAATCGCTGCGAAAATATTTCGTGTAAAGACACTTGACGCTAACGCCGATGCACTGTAAATGCCGTACGCATCCGTGAGGTAGTTGTTTAGTGCTAGAAACGTGAGATCAATGCCAATACCTAACGATATGCCTGATAATGCGGGAACTATCCAATGAACGGTAGGCCGAGCTGTCCACCCCAGCCAGAATTCGGACAGAGCGAACAGGGGGCCACCAAGACAGGCCAGTGGAAGTCGTCGGTACTCCTCTTGGAGAGCCCATGGCCTTCCTCTTTCGACACTTTTTTTATGAAACTTATCCCAAGCTACAAATATAGCAATGGCAAAAATACCTCCGATACCAGTAGGGATAAACATCAAAGCAGAAACCCCACTGGACATGGAATATGTACCGCGGAAAATAACTGGATATGCCCCAAAGTAGAGGAAGTAGATGACATATTGATAGAGGATGAAGAGATCCGTGAAGAAAACTAGCGGTTCCGAAAGAATGCGGATAGGACGTGCTAGAACTCTTACACGATTCCTAATGCCTAATCCCGTTTTAGTAATAACAGAGACAGCTGATGGATGCGATTTCGTGTTTGTAGCACTTTTTACAGCGCGGGCGTTGACTACAGGAGCGAAGGTTTCGGGTACGAAAAGTAGCATAGGCCAGTTAGCACCAGCAAGTATCAAGGCGCTCCAGAATTGCCACTGCCAAACTTTTGTTGAGGTAAATCCAGAGATGATAGGACCCACGAGGGGTCCAATGTTACTTGTAAGGCCGAGCATCGTCATGGCCAGACCGCGGGGCCCCAGATCTGGATAGATATCACAAAAAAGGCCGCCTGAAACGGTTTGCGGTGCGGCCGCGCCGCAACCTAGCAGGAATCGGAAGAATAGAAATACTGGCCAGTTTGGTGCTAGGGCACATCCAAGTGTGAATGCAGTGTAGATGCCGAAGGATACCAGAAAGACCGGACGACGACCCCACGATTCAGAGAGCGGGGCGAATATTATGGGCCCGAAAACTTGGTGAAAAGATCTGTTAGAATAGATATTCAAGTAGTTATAACTATTATTTAGCTTGGAAGTTTACTTACTATAACCAACGAGGAAAACAGCTACTGGTAATGGCTTCTGGAGTTCAGAAGTAACACCAAAATGGGCATTCAGCGTATCTCCTGCTCCGCTAGGGAGGGAAGAACCCAATGTTACATTGAAGTTCATCAAGATGACGGTCGTAGAGATGAATAGTTTCCGTGCCTGCATGCCGGCATATGTTAGCATCGATGATTATTCGACGATTTAGTGGTGGACGTTTACCGTTGACAGACCTGCAGCCTTCTCGGCAGGAGCCGAACCAGCTGCGACAGGTTCTGTAGATACAACATGGACTATTACATTTTTTAGCAACATAAACGGGGATATTATGCTCGTAGCATAAGTATAAGCGCACCTTCGGAGCTCTTCAACCCGAGGCCGGATTCTAGTTTCGCAGCCATGGGAATGGGAATATATGAGGAAAAAAAGATTAAATCTATGATCTAAGGGATAGTTATAATATGCTAAAAAATATGATCTAGAAGAAGATATGGTAGTTATGGAGCATTTAACCTAAACCGTCTGCTTGTTTGTTTGCTATGACAAGCGGATATTATAGGTTTTATATCCAGAAAATGTACCTCACAAAGCGGAGCCACAAACGGTGCTACACTCCCTTACATTGTATCTGTGGTTGTATCTGCGGGCCTTTAGGTACTATCAAGTTCAAGTTCCAGCGGTTAGGCCGATGTGTTATCACCCGCAGATTCGGTGAAGTACATCTACAATCTACAATGATAGATCATGTGTCTTCTCGGTTCCGCCATCATGTTGTACCCTGCGCCTCTCCCTCAGTATAAGGAGTGCATAGCACAGATTTGCGGCAACCCCCACAGCCGCGACCGCCATACACGCCGAGTAACCGGGATGATAATATGGCGCGTCCTTTGGTAAAAATGCGAAGGGGGCCAGTATTCCACCCGTATTACCAAAGCTGATCATCCATGCTGAACCAATGCTTCGTTGCTTATGTCCTTGAAGATTCATAAGATACCAGCAAATCACTACGGGACCCGCACTGAAGGCACCCATACAGACTAAGCAAAGTCCTGCATATTGTACTGAGAAGTTAGAATGTGTCGTCATCAAAATCGCAAGTCCTGCGATAAGAACAGCAATTGGAAACATGATGAATGGAAGACGACTATCTGTTCGATCTGACAGATATGTTAATACGAGACACAATCCAAGCGCAGCTGCAAATGGAGGGATTGAATGCAGTTGTGTTTGGACTACTGAGTATCCGAGCGTCTTAACGATTGTTGGCGTGAAATAGGCGAATGCATAAACCGGAACGACAACACCTGATAGGACTTAGCACGGGATTATTGAGGTGAGGAGATATAAGTTGGAGTAAAGACATACAGAAGTACATTATCGCGCCGAGGTAATTCTTAGGATCCTTGAAGAACTCAATAATATCTTTCCTAGTGATCTTCTGTTCTGAAGTAGTTTCTTCTGTCCGAGTTTTTCTTAGAACGAATTGTTTCTCTCTTTCAGATAACCACTTCGCCTCGTCAGGAAAATCACTGACGAAGAAATACCCTGCGATAGCGACTAGAATAGTTAGGATGCCTTCTAATATAAAAATCCACCTCCAGTTACTTATGCCTCGTATCCCATCCATTTCTGCGATCGCAGAGGCCAAGAGACCACCGAACGCAGAAGCTAGAATAACGGAGCAAAAATAAACGGTGAACCGTTTCTGCGACTCTTGTCGCTTATACCAGAAACTGATTAAGTAGAAACTCCCCGGGAAGATGCCAGCTTCAAAGAGTCCAAGTAAGAAGCGCGTTGCGAGAAGGCCGCTGTAATTCCGAATGAAGCCCTGGCCCAGCATGATAACGCCGAAACAGAAGATGCATAGAGATAACCACACATGAGGGCTAAATCGTTTCATTAAAATATTTGAAGGTATTTCAAAAACAATATAAGGAACGAAGAATACGGCCAGCGCAATGTTAGGTTGTTGACCAGTCAATCCCAACTCCTCTGGTAATCTCATAGTGAGAGCATTTGATATGTTCGCCCTGAAAAGTCGCTAGAGGTCAATCGGGGAATTCTCACGCGCACGAGCATGAGCACAAGAAACTTACCTATCAAGAAAGGCTGCAACATAGATCAGGAAGAGCATGGGGAGCACGTGGAGGTCGATCTTGCGCATCAACTTTGACGCTTCGGCCTCCGACAGGGTGTCGGGGTCATCGGGTAACGTCGAGGTAGACTCGGTTGCGTCTCGGTCTGAGCATGTTAGCATATGTCGTCGGTGACAATTAATATACTGAGGTGGCGTACCTAAAGTGCCCATTCTTGCTCAGCTGGTAAATATAGGAGGGTTGAGAAAAAGAAAAAAAGAAACTTGAAAAAGGTAACCCGACGGCTTCAATAATAGATTGTCTACAAAAGTGCCCGATTGCCAATGAAGGGAGGGTATCATAAACAACGTGGCGGAAGGATTTGAAAGAGACCAGGATAAGTGAGCCGAAAGAGGCAGCCCTTGATCCAGATACTACGGACTCGTTTAAAAAGAATTGTCTCAACTCGATGCACCTGGGATTCTGTCTCGGCGCTTTGAATACTACATCTGCCGTGTAAGGCTCTCAACTTACGAAGCGTCGCATTAGGTGCATCTCAGCATGCCACGAGCAAACATCTAGAACGATAATTGCAACTCAGGTGGCATGTAAACCGGCCTACTGGATCAGCACGTTGTTCATCTTATCTAACTATGTATTGCCCGATCGCCTTTGTATGACTATTAGGTGACTTGCTAATGGGCTATTCATTAGCTGTGAGGGAGGAGTTACAGCAGGAATATCATATATCATCTCCGGGTTGGTACACTGCATATCAAAACGGATGCAAAGACCCTTGCTGCCATGGAACACCTGCATGGAAAGCTGGAAAGGAGGCGTTTATGTATGGATGGTGTCAGCTTTTATGCAATACAACGTGGGGAGTGGGAGGGGAGGGGGGCTGAATAAAAGTAACTCATTACATACGAAAGTAATAGAACATAAGCATTATTTCCCTACCATGTGGAATTTGATTTGATTTAGAATATGATCCTGCTGCTTTATATATGCGGTTGTAATCTCACTAGGCCCGTTCTCTCTCTCACTCCGCTTGACTTCGTGTCATGGCCCCCAGAATGTCAGAGACGTCGACGGTTCCTACACCCACTTTTACGCCGGCTCTGGAGCCGCCAGAAGGTGTGCAGTCCAATCCCGAGCATCCGGCTTCCTTAGCTAGGCTCGCCGATATCACGATCGGGATATGCATTCCATTTGTTACCATATTTTTTATCCTGCGATGCTATGCCCGCATTGCTATTAAGCGCGTATGGATATTCGAAGATTTCATAGTGACGGCCGCCTGGGCAGGCACCATTGCCTACTGCGGCATTATGAGGGCTACCATGTCCCATCATGGTGGTCAGCACGGTTGGGATATCACGCCGGATCAACTCCACGAAGCCTCGTACTGGTTTAACGTCGCGTCCATCGAATACGGAGTCATGATCGGAGTCACCAAGCTTGCGGTTCTCTGGTTGTATCGTCGCGTCTTCTCGCCGATCCGATGGAGTATATTTGACATCGCCATCGTCACGCTTATCGTCCTTATTACCGGCTTCTACGGGATCACCACCTTCGTCAAGATTTTCGAGTGTACGCCCCGGGAGAAGATCTGGAATAAGCCGCTCCCTGGGACATGTGTGCAGACGAATCTAATATTAAACGTCAGCGGTGGCTTTAACACAGTGACCGATTTCTTGATTCTATTGCTTCCCGTCCACGCCGTCCGGCAGCTCCAGATGGATAAACTAAAGCAAACTCTTGTCGTCTTGGCATTTACCTTTGGTCTATGGTATGTCTTTCTTTCTTTCGTGGGAAAAGAATGCAGATCCTCGTGTCAGAGAAAGTGTTCGAAACGACGATGATCGCATACTTATCGCATATAGCGCTCCTATTTTCGCAACAATCGGCTTCGTCGTGCGTCTCAAGAACAGCGGCAATCCCGATACATCTTGGAGGCAGCCCGAGATTCTCCTATGGGGAGCAGCGGAACTCGCCTCCGGCAACCTATGCGTCTGCTTCCCTGAGCTCGCGTTCCTCTTCCGGAAGCGAAACCGCAAGGCCAATACTCCAAATCGCCCGACTGCCTCTCAAGTCAGGGGCTGGAACGAATCGAAGGGATCATCCCATCCGCCATCGGACCCATACTTTACCAAGAGTCTTATGGGCACGATGTTTAGCACGAATGGAGATGGGCCGTATATCGAGCTGCAAGACCATGGTAATGATGTGAATGTGATGCCAATGGGGCATCTACATCACAGAGAGAAGCCGGAAGAAGGCGTTGTAATAATAAGAAATGAAGTTACGGTTGAGCGTCAATAGCGTTCTACTAGTGGTAAGAACTTCTATGTAGCACTACATGTCTGTTACTTATACCTTTGACAATAGGGGTTCTCGGGGTCGGAGTTGGCGTAATCTGCACACAGGGTTTAGTGCTAAGTTAGCATATGGGTTTTGGGAATGAAGGGGAGGTCTTCAATTGGACCGGGTGGGAAACGGTGGGATTGTCTGATAGTTGACGAATATCTGTGGCTTTACGGTGTGTTATATCGAGTTCAGGTCGGTACTTGTAGGTCTGTTCTCACAATGGATTTTTTGATATCATAACAACTCTCATAAAGAGCCAACAACACTTGTCAGAAGTGGGAATTTTGGCATCTTACCAAGCGATATCTTTGGTCCAAATATATTGCTCGAATTATCTGAAGACTGATGGGATTCAGCTCACACATGGTGCTACTGAAATTTGTTGAGAGCTATTACATTGTGACTTAACTATATTCATCGCTTATTACATTTGGCTACCCTCTAATATGGACATGAGCATCCCTCCTTGTTAAGGAACGGCCTGCATCATAACTATCTCATCAGCGCTGGACAATCTCATGGTAGACACCAAGATATATACAATCCATAAGCTGTGGCTGCTCCTTCGAGAAGCCGATAGGACATAGCTACGGATCATATGATGAGAATAATGTTGTCAAACAATGCGAGTCGTGTCCTAAGCCGGCTGAAGCCTTGAAATATTGGACTCTCTGCGTACATGTAATTTATTTAGAACAATGCATCTCCGTTACCGGACACCTCCGAGTGTATATAGCATAGCTCGGTATTCTACGCTTTGAAATCCTTTTAATATCATCTAGGTTGTCAACATAGGGGGTACTGCTCACACGACTAAATACTCCGATTGGGATGCAGTTGTGATATTAACTTGGACATTATATTGGGTAAGTATATCAATGATTTCAGTTTGAAATTTTTTTTAAAAAAATATTTAGAAACAAAATTGAGATTTATTAATATATTTTGTCTTCATTAGTTTGCAAAGGTATAACAATCGTTGGTTGGTCATCATCTGGTCTTTAATTGACAAAAATAATCCTAGCACCTGTGTAACAAAGTTATATCCGATGCCACCCGCTTTGCATGGTTAAAAAACCTCTCCTCCTCTTATTCTACAAAGGTCACCTACCACAGCTCGTATTTGCTAGGATGGTTTTTCGAAGTTTGCTCGCTCGCAGGTTGGCGATAAATACCGTCCGAAGACCATATTGCTCTCGTACATTGGGGCCTGTCTTGCCTTTTACATGTTGGTCTCGCGCAGGAATCCCGCTTACATCTGCTACCAACTATTCAACAAAGCAACATAGATCCCAAACACCTAAGTCGGTCAACATGGCTAAACCGCAGAGTACTTCTGGATCGTATGTATTCAATCAATTACCATATGCTATTCATCTAAATTAATTCTCAATTAGTTATACAACCGCATTCGCTTTGTTCGAAGCGCTTTGGGAAGTAGGTGTCTCCGTTTACTCATAAGTGGCCTTAACGCTTACTATGGTTATAAGGCTGGCATAACAGCATGCTTTGTCAATGTCGGATCAGATCATCCATCCATCATTGAGGCTATTGTCAAAGGCAAAAGAGAGCGACCTGACTCTTGGCCTAGAATGATTACGTGCCCTTCTGAGGTCACCGCGATTTCGATGGCTGATGGGTATGCTCGAGTGACAGGGCGTCCGCAGGCCGTTCTCGTCCATGTCGATGTCGGAACGCAGGCCCTTGGTCAAGGTATCCATAATGCTAGCATCGGCCGAGCCCCGGTCTTCATCTTCGCTGGTCTGTGCCCGTACACCGAATCCGGGGAACTTCCTGGCTCCCGAACGGAGTATATGCACTGGCTGCAAGAAGCTCCGGACCAAAAAGCTATCGTACGGCAGTATTGTAGGTACACAGGCGAAGTTCGTACCGGATTAAATATTAAGCAGACTATCGGACGCGCGCTTCAATTTGCGAGTAGCACACCCAAGGGCCCAGTTTATGTCGCCAGCGCAAGGGAGGTCTTAGCTCAAGAAATCCCACCATCGTCATTAGATCAAGCGCAGTGGGTACCGATCGGTCCAAGCGCGCTTCCAACCGATGCTATCCATGACATCTCTACGGCCCTCGTCCAAGCCGAGCGCCCGCTCATTATCACGGGATACTCCGGCCGTGATCGCCGGACGCCGGAGCTTCTCGTCGCTTTGGCAGACCTCATCCCCGGTATACGCGTCCACGATACGGGTGGTAGCGACGTGTGCTTTCCTTTCAATCATGCCGCTTCCGAAGGTTTCCGTCTTAGTTCTGACGACTGTAGTAAAGATGCAGACGTGGTCTTCCTACTTGACTGCGACGTCCCCTGGATCCCGTCCCGTAACCCACCCCCGAAGGACGCTAAGATATACCACGTAGACAGCGACCCGCTAAACCAACAGATTCCCGTTTCTTTCTTCCCTGCACACGGACGCTGGAAAGCAGATAGCTTCACTGTACTGAAACAACTGGTCGACCATATCAAGAATGATTCTTCACTTACAGCAACACTACGAGACCCTAAGTATGCAGCTCGTGGCGAGGCTCGCATAGAAGCTCATAAGGCTCGTCTAGCGAGTATCGCTTCTCAACCGCGCTTAGGCGATCAAGAAACATTGAATGGCCACAACATCGGTAGTCTCCTGAAATCATCCCTTCCAGACTCTACGACCTATGTTGTTGAAGCAGTTACGGCTGGACAGTTACTATATGATCAAGTACAGCCTAGCCGACCGGGAAGCTGGATTAATTGCGGCGGAACGGGTATCGGCTGGAGCAACGGTGCAGCGCTAGGTGTTAAGATGGCTCTCGCAGACCTAGAGAAGGAGGGAGCCGAGAAGCCAAGTCTTGTATGCCAATTAGTCGGCGATGGAAGTTTTATGTGCGCGGCGCCATCTACTGCGCTGTGGGTAGGGAGCAAGTACAAGATCCCGATTCTAACAATCGTCTTAAATAACGGAGGTAAGTTACGTCGTATGATCAGCCCCTATCCTCACCCCGGACGAATATACACGTTCATTTTAGTCTTGGGTTCTGACCAGGCTGACACATTTCTCACTTAAGGTTGGAAAGCTCCCCGTAACTCTACGGAACTTGTCTATCCTAACGGCCTTAACGCCTCTGCAACAGACGAGGAAGTCAACGTTTCTTTCCGTCCGACACCTAATTATGCTGCTCTAGCAGAAGCAGCAGCAGGGTCGGAAGTCGGCTGGGATAATGCGGCGGAAAATGCGGACACGTGGATGAGGGGTTTGAGAGTTAAAACGGTAGGCGAGCTTAAGGAGGCACTTAGAAATGCGAGCTTGCGGGTAGCTAAAGAGGGGAAGGGAATGCTCATTGAGGTATTAATGTAGGAATGTTGAAGAGCATTTCACCTGAACATTGCCACTGCCGAGTGGAAGGTTTGGGGTTCATCATAGTAGAACTTTACTATTAATTTACTGTATATTTCTTTCAGCGGGAACTAACTCTTAGTTCGTATGTTTTAGTACGAAGACTAAAACCAATACTAACTTTATTATCCTGGATCATAAGGGGACGTAGAGACACCCCCTGACTTATTTTTTTACGAGACTTATAAAGTTCGATAGAGATTTAGAGAACTACCTAATTAGATTCCTTGTGGTATATTTTGCGAAGAAGAAATCTTCCGTACGTACGATGAGGATGTAGTGTAGTCTAATGAAGCTAGATAAAGAAGGATGGATATATAGCACCGGTGTCCCACTATTTACACGAATAGGGGTAGCACACGGCGGAGTTGTCCCGCTGTTATATGATTAGCGGGATTAAACTTTAAAAAGACTACAGTTTATCGTAGTGGAGAGGCGCGGCTTAGTATTACTTTTCCTTTGGAGCTGTTCGTTTTTAAGATGATAGTGTTTTCTTCGATTGGAGAAAGAGGTACGCTACGAGTCAATATCGTAGGAAATATTTGGATTAGAACTACGTATTCGACCTATGGCGATGCAAGTAACAAGAGGGCAACCAACCCAGATATTATATAAAATAATATTAACATATTCGAGATTGGATCACGTAGACATTAGGTTAGGTACCTCTTAAAAGATTGTATGTCTAGCTGCTTTGGTGGATCTTAAGTGAGCTCCTAACAACCTGCCCTACCATATTTCTCTAACATACCGGCTCTTCGCATTGCATATGAGAAAAAAAGGAGAGAATGTACGGTAAGTTTATTAAGATATTAGCAAGAAGTGTTTCAATATAGGGTAAGCACTTAGCCCATCTGGATTAAGCTAATCGGGGTTTGCGTAGGGGAGAAAGCAGCAAAAGGAGAGTAGGTTTTTTTTCTTTGTATCTTCCTTTTGGCCTGTAATATTCCCACTGGAATACTGTATAAAGCTGAAATGTCTACTATAGTTTACAATTTAAAACTTAAGTATATGAAAGAGAAAGAGAAGTCTTAATGCCTCGAAGTGCCTTGTATAAGATGAGTTCTATGACTTTACATAATCAACATCTTTGTCATGTGATTGGTGGATTTGGCTTAGGCAAAGGCAGGTACATAGGTACTTGATCTAAGGGAGCTTTGTGCCCCATACCTTGGAAATCGCGTTAGTGTGTGTAAGCGCCGCGTTTTACAACATTTCGTCAACTGAGAGCCTTAAATGAGAGCCTCCATCTTAATAGCATTCAAGTGACCCTCTATCATCAACCCGTCGCAGTCTGCTCATTCTGATCCACCACTTTTTATTTTCTTAATCCCTTTATGCATATTACTATATCACAACCCTAATTATGCCTCGGCGACCCGGTCGCGCAGCCGCTAAGCGTGCTGCAGCAAAACTTGGTGAGTCGCTACAATTTTGAATTTCCTTCTCTTGTCGCGCGCGCTATTGAAATTTGATTGCCACTTTCGCATCCTCTCAATACCCCGAATTCATTGGCTATATCTTCGATATATCTAACCTTGGTATTAATGGCGCAGAGAGTACCCCGAGAGCTCTTGAGGATATCGAAGATGAGGTAATGCCAGATGCCGACGCATCAGACGGAGAACAGCAAGTGGAACCCGAGGAACAAGAAAACGAAGATGAATCTGGTGCAGAGCCCGAGGAAAACCAAGACTCCGATGGTCCATCCGTGAAATCACCTTCCCCTCCACCTCAGCCAGTTATTAGAAGGAGACGTCTAGGCCGTCCTCCAAAGAATCGACCGCCAGACTGGGATACCTTACCGATCGAGACCCCCCAGCGCGATCCAAATGAAACCCCAAGGCGCCGTGGTCGTGGCGGATGGAGAGGTAGAGGTGGCCGGAAGGGAGCCTCCTATCAGCCGACGCAGCAAACGATCGACAAAGAGGGCAACATGATGGATATTGTCGACGATGAAGTCGCATTACCCGAAGACCCCGAAGGAGAGACCAAGGTAGACAAGATGGGAAACCTACAAGGAGGGCGCGAGTACCGTTGCCGAACGTTCACTGTTGCAGGTCGGGGAGATCGCCTTTATATGTTGTCCACCGAGCCCGCCCGTTGCGTGGGATTCAGAGACTCATACTTGTTCTTCACCAAACACAAGCGACTCTACAAGATTATTGTGGATGAGGATGAGAAACGAGATATGATCGAACGCGATATCATCCCCCATTCCTACAAGGGCCGTGCGATAGGAATCGTTACGGCCCGTTCGGTATTCCGGGAGTTTGGCGCGTTGATTATTGTCGGTGGAAAGCGAATCATTGACGATTACGAAGTCGCCAAGGCCCGAGCCGAGGGCGTTGTGGAGGGCGAGCTTGCTGATCCTAACGATAAATTCGCCGAGGGCGAGGAATACAACAAGAACCAATATGTCGCTTGGCACGGTGCCAGCGCTGTTTACCACTCAGGGGCTCCCTCTGTCCCTACTCAAAACGGCAAGATAGATATTAAAAAGAGGCGAGTGAATGTGACAGATGTCAACTGGCAATTCGAACATGCCCGTGAGGCGAGGTACGTAATCGTTTTATTCATTAGCACTCGGGGTCATTCAAAATTATTAACTGATCTTCCAGTCGTTTCAATGCTGAAATAGGCGCCATTCGGCGCATGAATCTATCCGGTGTCTACGATGTCCACACAAATATGTTACAGTATCCCGCCATTATGCAGCCTACGCATGCGAAAATCGAGCAGGTTGTAGATTCTTCCGCCCCGACTGGTAGCGTTCGCTTTCCGCCGTTAGACCCGAAGATTCCTCGTAACTTCAAGGTTATCGACGCGTACATGGAGACACCCCCTGCTACCCTCCCGTCTGCCGTATATGAGCAGCGTGAGATACCAGCCTTCCTAGCTGACTTCCAAGGGCTCGGAGCCGTGTCGAAGGACGTCTTAGAAGAATTGCCAGCTGAATGCCGAGAGGCTTTTGAGAAGGCACGAGATAGGGAGAGTTCTTGGAAATCGAAGTGGGGCCCTGAGTCAACCATGGCTCACCGTAGACCCCCTATTATTGATGCTGCGATCGTCCCTTATAGCAGGATGTAAGATTACTACAGGCAATGGAATGTGCTTCTTGAAGCAGTTTTGTTCCATAATCGCCTCTCCGGCTGACTATAGAAAGGCTACATCCTAACGTTTTCGTATTGTCTATGGGTGCATAGCCGCAGCTTCATGATGTAAGAATAGTGCAGTCAGGGCGTTTTAGGTCGCGAAGAGACACAGCAGGATGTTGTCTTAGGTAGACGCGGCGAAGTTGGCATCGACTGGTAACTGGGCGTTTAGCTCTATTCGACTCACTGCCCTTGTGATATCAGGGTGTGGTCTTAATTGATTCATTTGGCTAATCGTTTTAGTTTTTGGTGGCCTTACTAGTGACTCGGTTTAGAAATAATTTCTGCATAGGATCTCTTATGATATAGGTATATCACCATATCGTTCCTTCTAGCGCTAGTTACTAAAGTCATTATCCAAACCGTGTTTTGTTTTCTATATCTTGATTAAAGTAAATGAAAGTTGGAGTGGCCTAGGATGTTGTCAGGATATAAGTAAACCTAGTATAAATTAAATCTACATAGAATATCTATATAAGGGGCGCACAGCGCCTTCGTAGGAGGATAGAAGGTTAAGCATTAATAGATTTTCACTATTACATGGCTACTATACAACAGCGGAGCTGTTGCTTCTAACATCCACTCTACGTATGATATGCATTAAGGGTTTCTATTAACAGATGTATGAATCTCGAGAAAAATATCCTGATACCCCTGAGGCTATATCACGTCAGCTCACTATACTTTAAGTGAATTTCTTCCCCTTCGTTCAATTCTAGCGAGTAGATAAAGCTCATAGTAGTACATGTTGGGATTATGGTCACGTGACAATGGCACCTAGCATTGTCATATGACCAAGGGTTGGGCCCCACCCACACCCTAATCCAATTGTATTTAGATTCCCCCACTTTTCGTAGATCTTCCTCTTTCATCATCAATCAATACAATAGGATATCACTTTTACTACAAGGGTAATTGGTGATATAAAGTAACTGAATCGATTCCCCAGTCAATCCAACAGTACATTCTATGTAATATATGCCCCTATTCGTCCTATCGAAGGAATCATCAAATTGAATACCTAACCCATACACTTGATCTGTAAGGAGAATAAGAAAGGAACATCCAATATACCCCCGAAAGACGAATATAGTACATTAAACCATTGAGAAACTTAGCTTGAAGATATTTATTCCTCCAGCTTAACCTGACCGCCGACGTCGTCTTCGTGTGGTAGCGGCCCGCCGCGCCCTCGTCCGGGGAAGTCCATTATCACGACGGTTTCGAGATGGAAAGCTTTGACGCGGCGATGATCCTGTATCATAATTCCCGTGTGCTCCGTTGAAGGGTTTGCTACTACTCGGACGTTTGATATAGCCCAGATCCGTATGATCCCAAGCAGGAAAGCGGTAATCTTCGAAAACCTGTGTGCTAAGCCCGCTGCTCTCCAGATGGTGGAGGTACAAGTTCCACTCCGTTCTTGTCGTTGTTCGTAATAAACCACCATATTTGATCAATAGCAATGATAACTCGTAGAGATATCTGGGGTCTGACAAATGTACTGTTGCATCAGACAGGATATAGTCTAATGGCGATCGACCCGAAGCGTCCTGGGCGTTAGGGTTCGCTCCTTGCTCCAACAGTTTGGCGGCAATACTAGGAGGGCTTAGGTATAAAACTGTGCCAAGACTAAACCCAGCCAAGTCTATATTTTCCACCGCAGAAGCATTTTCCCAACTAATCGGAATCTCGGTATCCTTTAGTTGACTTACTAAGTCACTGGCTATGTTGCTGCAGTCTTCATCTGGCGTATCGGGCATCCCGAGGCCGAAGCTATCGATCGATGTTGGTCCGACCCATATCCTACAAATTAACCGGCCGAGGCCAAACGAATCGTTCTCGACGATGAATCCTTTTGAGAGAAAGGACTGTACTATTTTCCTACGATCGTAAGATATTGGATCAGTAGCCATGCCTTGCATAATGCTCTCGATAAGCATGGGCGAGTTTGTGAAAACGCTGCTCTTCGCCTTGTACACATCCTCTAGGCAGAGTTGGAGGCCGGCAGCTGTAGCTAAATGCAGGCAGTGGTGTATTTGAGAGGTTGGGTCATAAACCGGAGAATGGGCGAAAAATGTATATTGACTCATACCCGTTGTTCTTTCGGCTTCACGAGCATGAAAAGAAAAGGTTCGAAAAAAATATTGATTTTCGGTAGAATTGTAACGATCGCAACATGAGAAGAAATACTTTGCTAGGAATGAATGGCCATTCTCCTCTGTTACGTTTGCACGATTGCCACCAAGTACCAAGTATCGAAACTGCGGCATCTCAATGAAATCTTTGACAGTTTGATGCATAAGCTGAACATCACCGGTAATAAAGACATCCACCAACCCTCCGGAGACGGTTCTAACAAACTGTTGGGCCCGAGTAAATTCATTTAATTCCCTGATTTGTTGCCATTCCTTGGGACTGAATGACACCTTAGCTGTAGAACATGTCGCAAGCATGTAGAGTTCGCCCACTGCAAGAGCATTCCCAGTTCTTCTAGCTAGGCATTCTAGGATAACATAGGTGTCCCACCTAGTTGCTGGTGGAATGCGTTCGATAATAGCTGTGTAATATTCCTCGAGTTCATCTGGCATGGAAGCGAGTGACATGCGTAAATTATTCTCAGCTGAATCTTCTGTATAGTTGTGCTCTCTCATAATTTGAAAAAGATCGTGTAGGACGAGCTTCACCCAAAGGAAAACACCACGAGAACGAGTTACAATCTCCTCAACAAATTTAAGCAAACAATCAGGTGTCTGAAAAGCACTGCATATGGACGAGATGCAATAGTTGCGAATATCGCCCTTGGTGTGTTCGTGGATTCTAAATCCTAGAGAAGCTCCAAATTCCCTTTGGAACACGTCCCAGTGCCGACTTGAGAATAAAACTCTAACCTTGGTTCTTGGAAAACTCGCGTCTTGGATAAGATCTTTAAGGAATCCTGAAATAAATTCAGGACGTCCATCATATTCATCCAAGGCGTCTAAAAGAAAAAAGATATCCAAGTCGACCAATGTCTGGGAAAATATCCGAAGAAGGATATCTTCTAGTCTTGACTTGGTCCATTCCTCTTTCTGAATTTTGTCTTGGATTTCTATGCGAGATTTATGATCCTTAATAAGAGCCTTGATATCATTTCTAATTTTATTTGACAATTGCTCTTGTACCTCCTCCCCTAGAGTTCGTTGATTTTCAATACTCGGCTCCAGCCGTCGATTATCGGGTATTCTGCTATGATTATTGGGCCGCTCACTATGTTTCAAAATTAAATCATATATCTCAGCTTCTAGATCAATTCGATTGGTCTGAGGTGAAAACGGTTGAAGGTCTAAGCTTCGTATAATTGTTTCGATATCCCGGGCTAGAGACGCATTCTCGGTGATATCGCATAGTCTCGTCAATTGAAGGATGTCAGATTGTAGACTCCCAAGTCCTTTCATCTTTAGTCGCTTGAGGTACTCTTCATCAAATGCTGATCTGATTACCTCAAAAATTGTCTCTTCTGCTTCTAGAATCTGACTGATGATGCTTCGTAGAAGTCCCTCAAAGGACTTTTGAATATGGTTGCCACGATGATGGAAAAAAAATGTAGGCATGATTTGTCGAGCTCTAGAATTCCACTTGTGTAGAAGCTCGAAAGTTCTCTGATCATTATGAATAAACTTCATCATCGTAGACTTTCCAGACCCTGGTTTGCCGCTAATCCAAAAGATTCCCTCTCCTCTCTGAAGCCATTCGGACATACCGATAGAAACATCGTCATATATCCAGTCGAAAGTGTAAGTGGCAGCAGGATCGATTTGTTGTATACGCAAATCACGCTCCGGTGCGCATAAGGACCTCAGAATGACTATAACATAGGTATTAATAAGTTAACAGGCAATAAGCAAATGCATCCATACCTTCATTATCCCATATAATAGGGTCTTGAATCGATACTCGATTTCCAGTACCATTCACGACCAATTGCTGGTCTTTCACACTTTGCGTCCAATCATTACGAATACCTCTACTGTCAGTTGAAACACTACCTCTTGAGATAATGCTTGAATTTGGCCGATCAAATACTGGGTGTATTCCACATATGTTTGCCAGCCTATTCACAATTATGCGGATTCTATGGTCGCCATGGGTGAATTTCACAATGTCAGAATGGTTTTCATCAATCTGAATTGTTAGGGAAGGATCTTCGTAACAACGTCCTCCCGTGGCAGAAGCTCGAGTTACCAGCACTGTTTCTGGTCCTGATCGGCTGGAGGTGTTCCTTAACGACTAATATATAAAAGTTAGCACAGTCCGAAACTTGAACTGACTGGTTAGTTGCTCGACATACTGCGACAGTCGGTGTCATTTTAGTCTCATATGCCCAAAACATTTTCAATGCTCGCACGAAGGAAACTCCGGAAAATCGCTTTTCAAGCTGCGAAAGATAGTCGGACTCGGTTGAGATCTCGGTAATGAGTGCATCTTTGTTTGGTTGGTCTCCGAGCATTCTGAAGATATCATCTATGGCCATACCCTGACTCGGTACGCCGAAAAAGATGACCCCCTGAATTAAGTTAGCGACAGATGCCTGTTGCTGTCCAGCTCCAGCAAGCATCAACAGAGTTTGCTTTAAAATAACACCGCCAAGGCTATGTGCAAGAAATAAAAGCGGTTTTGCTGTTGGTGAGGTCCATCCATTTGCTTCTAAGACGTGAATGAACGAGTTCGCGAGGTCCGGGACTCTCTGAAAAGATGTGCTCGGACGGAGAATCGTATCATATCCGTACAGAATAAACCGTACGGTTGGAAGAAACTGAGGCAATTCATCTCGGATCCACATGAAGGATTTATCTCTCCCATGGGGTTGCCATGAGCCAAAGGGGTGGCTTGCAAGGCCAGAAATAGCGATGCAGCTGCACGGTCAGGTTAGTAATTGCAGAGAATGTACTCTTCAGATGGCAACATACTCGTATTGATGGTTCTCAGGGGCTACTTCATTGAGCGGAGTGAGACCACGGAAATGGCTATCAAGAATGAGAGGCTTTGCTAGGGCAGAATTCTTGAATATCCATTCGCTATTATTAGAGTTAAAGCGAGTTGTAAGGTCGCCTTTTTCGAATGTCAAGGTTGCTGTCTTGGTAGGCGGTCGTTCCCATGGATCGACTGCATAAGCTAACGAAGAGATGCGGATATCGTGGGGTAAGGCTCCTTCGATACATGCCGAGACAAGCTCGGCAGCCGACTGTCTATCTACATGAGTAGGTAAATTACGAAGTCGATATACTTTAGTCTTCTCCGTTGGCGCTGCCATGAGTGAAAATCCGACTTTTACTTGTCATGATGCTGATGCTAACTACTTCTCTCAATTCTTGTAAGTTGCCTTTCATTAGAATGGCAGTGTTGAGGGGAAAATGAGGCTGAGTATCGGGCATCAATGACGTGGACCAACGAGCTTGTGAATGTAAGCGAAGCTGACAATGTTCGAGGTCGAAAGTCCTACATATGCACATGCAAGGTACGTAGGAAGTATAAGATAGCTTTGCAAAAATACCTACGCAAAATTAATAACATAAAAATACGTAGGTACGTAGGAGGGTGCAATGAGAAAAGGGAGTATTTAAGTTTATCATATCATTCTCCAGTATCTTAGGTAAATATATAGGTAGTATATGTAGAGAGAGATTACCCCTGAAATTTGACAAAATCACATTAGCCGAAGATAACAATTGAAAATTATAGTAAGTTAAGTACCTAAGATAACTTTACAATTTCTAACTTTACTGCTCGAATAATCCCTTTAACACTACGCAAGGCTTAAGGTTGAAGCTTCAAATCCGGACACTCCATTGGGTCGTGGTAGAATCTCCCACCCAACTTCTTTACCACATCACACCTCTCCTCCATACTGAACGCATTCCAGACGGGCGCCAGGTACGTATATGGTACGTCGCTTTTGCGCGCCACCACCACCCATACGCCTACCCCGCTCTCAGGCCAAGCCGCAACCACCGTCGTCTTCCGCCACAAGTTTTCCGGGCTGAGCATCTGCGTAGTCATGTACTCGTCTGCGCTCATAAACCACCAGGCGCCAAGCATTCTCATGCGGGCGCAATGCTCATCCTCAGCTGCGGGATCTTCGGAGCGCTCGGCGGGGTCAAATCGAGATAATTGTAGGAATAAGAGATCGACGCCGTTGCAGTGCGGCAAAACGAGAAAGCCCCCGGATGAGGGGTAGCCGTACACTTCAGTTGAATGGCCGCCGAAGACCACGCGGCGCGTCTCCGGTTCTGGGACGTCCCAGTCCGCGTCATACTCGATCTCTCGGCTACCCTCGTCCGGTACGGGCCGGCTCGCGCGAAAAAGGGGCCAGAAACTAAACATGGTTGAATGCCCTAAGATTTCGGGAGCTTGACGAACGGTTTGCCTTTGTAAATAATAATAAAGATTTCTGGAACGCGATGCGGTGCCGTATTATCAGCTTTTAATTGATTATACGGCCAACTTGTAACTTTAACTGCCAAGATGTCTAATACACGAACAACACGCTACGATGTAAAGATACTGATGATAATCTGAGATAAGTATTTTCTTTCATTATATGGTTAGGTAGGTAGCTAGATACACTTTATTGGAAGTGGGAATATATATACTTTTTCTGTTAGAATTGAATCTCGGTGCCTAATGTTAAATAGGTAGCTAGCTAGATCGATAGAACTGAGGGGACAATATGACGGCAGAAATAAGGCAGAAACAATCCAGCACAAGTCAGCAAAAACCGCCGTGCCGTATCATTGCATATTAATTCTCTCAAAAGAGTGCATATACCTAGTATCTTATTTATGTTGAAATGAATGGTCGAGGGACTACTTTCAGGTACAGTATATATGGTATCTTGGAGTTGAATGCATATAAAAAGGACCTCCTTCCTCACTCATTCGGTTATGAATTAAGTCAATATACTGCAACTCATATACGGTATCTTTCAGCAATTTAACTATCTTAAAGTGTATTTGGAATAAGTAGAAACGATAGTTTGACTTGGAGGTGGTGCGTGGCAAGTTTTTATGAGTGACATAACACCGGTTCTAAAAATGCTAAAGGGCTCTTTTGGACGGGAAAGTTTAGCTGAGCATTGATATTTACTCTGTACCTAAGGAAAGGCATTCTATGTTTGCAACAATAAGACTTTACGTAAAGAAGTTTGCTTCACAGCCAGTTGTCAGTTGGGACGATAAGTTGCAGTACATATATAGGAGGCATGCCTGTAGTAGGGTTTAGTTAATGGTTTATAAACAGAAAACATCTCTCCTGAATATCAAAGTCAATTGCTATACTTAATGTATATCCTTATACTTATCATAACCTTACCCGAGAGCCGTGCCGGTAATATGTCAAGTTTCAATCAACTTTAAAACAAGAAGAATTATTAGACCCGCCGTACTCCTTTAAATATATTTTTCCTCCCGCATTTAACTTCGACACTCATCCGCAATATAAATAATTCTGGTAGTATTTAAACTTCTACTTGTTTGATTTATCTATATTTATCTACAACGATATTCGGCTAACTCGTGAACTTGGAAGGATATCGTATCTAATTCCGAGATGAAGTTGGCGGATCCGTACGATTGTGGTTCTATATTTGCTTAAACGGCAAACCTGATTGGTCGCACTAAAGCAAATAGGCAATAAATAAGACTAAGACTAGTATTGCGTGCTTTCACGTGACCACCCATTTCTTCCCATGTATTTGCCAGACTAATAAATAAAACTTGCTGGTAATCAGCCTGCAGATTCGAAGCGGTAGATATCTCGGTTTCCTCTTGCCCAATCATAAGCTTTATCCAAACATATTACTCAAAATATGGCTGGAGTCAGTGTGCTTCGCCCACTTGCTCGGGTCCCAGTTAAGAGGGTTGCGAGGACCTACGCAACCTCGATACCATCCAAGGCCCACCATCGTGTAGTTATTGTTGGTGGAGGTACAGCTGGAGTTACTGTTGCCGCCCAGTTGCAACGTAGCACAGATTTCGAGAATAAGGATATCGCCATATTAGACCCTGCACAGACCCACCACTACCAAGTAAGCAGTATTCGTTCCCATTTCTATTATATCTTGAGTTACTAATAACTTCGAAATAGCCAGGATGGACACTTGTTGGTTCTGGGTTAAGAAGCCTTGCAGATATGCATCGGCCTATGTCCGAAGTGATTCCACAAGGCGTGAAACATTATCCTCTGCGAGTGTCCACGTTTGATCCCGCAAACAACGCAATCAAAACATCCGAAGGAGTTGACGTGTCGTATGACTACCTAATAGTAGCCCCGGGCCTAGAGACAAACTTTTCTGGAGTGTCAGGTCTTGAGCAAGCACTACAGGATCCCGCCAGCCAGATATCATCCATCTACTCGGAGAAGACGGTGGAGCAGGTATGGAAGAACATGCAAGCTTTCAAGAAAGGGCCAGCTATTTTCACCCAGCCTGCTGGTGTTATTAAATGCGCTGGCGCTCCCCAGAAGATAATGTGGATGGCCCATTCGCAGTGGAAGCGGGATGGCGTACGAGACAATATCAACATCACCTTCGCAACTGGTGCTCCTGGTAAGATGACCGACGTATCATGTTAAATCGACCAACATATGTTAATGCTGCTTAGTTATGTTTGCCGTCCCGAAGTACTCACAAGCGCTTGAAGATCTGCGCAAGCAGCGCCATGTCGAAGGCCTTTTCCAACATAATCTAGTTAAAGTAGACCCGAAGAATAAGGTGGCGACATTTAAGAACTTGGCGGACGGTGCTAACGGAGCACTTGTTGAGAGAGAGTTCGGCTTTCTACGTAAGCTTTCCTCGACCTTCTTGGTCCCCTGACCCCCTTTTTTTGCATTAAATATTTCTGCGCATTTCCGAGCTGCAAGTTGGTATAATAATTGCTAACTCAAATGTTGATAGATGTGGTACCTCCTCAAAAACCGTGGGACTGGGTTGCCAAATCTCAACTAGGTAAGTATCCCGCGAGAAACTCTCATTATGATGAGTGTTATGTTAAAGATGACTAATTATGTTTCTCCTCGTAGCGGATGCCGCGGGTTGGGTTGATGTGGATAAGTCCACTACGCAGCATACCAAGTACAAGAACGTTTTCTCTCTTGGCGATGCATCGAGTCTTCCGAACAGCAAAACCGCAGCTGCTATCACATCTCAAACGCCAGTTTTAATAGACAATCTTTTGGCGGTCATGAAAGGCAAGGAGATCAAGGCGTCGTATGACGGCTACGCAAGTTGCCCCTTATTGACCGGCCACAATGAGCTTATGCTCTGCGAGTTCAAGTACGGCGGTGTGCCCAAGGAGACTTTTGCAAATATACTTGGTGGTCAGGAGCAGCCTAGTCGGTTATTCTACCATTTGAAGAAGGATTTCTTCGTAAGTCACTCAAGGGGGTCCCCCCATCTAGAAGTACTCGCTAACCAGCTCATAGCCATATGCCTACTGGAACTACTATGTAAAAGGTACCTGGTTTGGCCCAAGAGGATTTTTCCGCCCTAATACGACAGCAAGTTAAATATAGACCCGACTAGTCAGGTAGTAGATAATAAGTATTTTAACAGACAAGCCCCCTGATAATTCTTAGAGTACTTTTTTCGCTTTGACCTAGATTAGACAATTTACGCTTATGTAAAGTATTAAGTATTAGGAGGTACCTTAGGAGGAGGTAGTTATATGATAAATGCGACTAAACATTTCTACGTTGATTAGCCTCTTAAGTGGACGCATACATCCATCTCCCAGTTTTGGTTACATTTAACTACCAAGAGTTTTAGTGCTACTTGGATATGACGTAGATATTGTAAAATCTTCGCGGGACGGCTGCATGATGGGTAAAATGATGAAAGTGTCCTATGTACATACAGCATGCGGTGGTACCCAGGATCAGCGCGATAAAAGGGGTCAGGGGGGTATTTTCGCCGGGCGAGAACCTTACGGATATATCTTATAGCTACCTAACTATACGATATCTCACTACCCTCAACCATGGACTGACCCAGACCAGACGTCGTATCTACTGCAATACCCGGGCCTTCCAACCAATCCCTAAACACCCCATGTGCTGATATTTCGGGGAGATAGAATCGTCGGCCGAGTTGCTGTACAGTATAATAGTTGCCAATCTTTGCCAATAGGGGTAGCAGACATCGAGCCACTAGTCAACTTTTTGGCACATGGCCTTTTGACAACTTTAAGTGCGGGTTGCATAATTCACTCAATAGTGTAATTTTTTAATTCTATAAATTGGCCGATGGATTTTAGCTAGCCCTTTTGAGATTATACCTCCGAGGCATTCTTACAAATATCTATCATCATCGCGACGTTGGTCTGCTATAGCATAACCCTCGAAATGAAGACCATGTAACTAGACAAGCTTGGCATGACCCCTCCATAAAAAGAATCAATATTAGCGTAACGTAAGCTGTTCGGTATTATTGTATTCGTCATAGTGGTGGCGATTCGTGGTGTCGTTACTATCCGAATGTTAAGAAATTAACCTACTTCTTCTCGGTATAATCCGCTTTAATATAAATGTAACTAAGCAAAACGCATTAGCTCTGACCAGACACCTATGTATCGGGCCCGAAAGCTGGTGAACTTGACACTGAAAATGTTGGTGTGTTGGTTGGTTGGTTGGTTAATTTATTGTTTGTAACTTACCCGATATCTCTCAGCGCCCACTCCAACACTTCAAGCCCGAATGCGATAAATGGTCGGCCCGTGAGCAGACCGGGGAATAAATGTTTCGGATGGTCTCGGAACCAAGCCGTACACCCGATTCTCTCACCTGGAAAAACATTACGTAGCGGAGCGGTGAGTACGACATCCTGGTAGCTCACATGCATGTCAGACATTTGCGACGTCTTGGATAGGTCCGTAGGAGATTTTTGTCGCACCGAAAACATACGTATCGTCCCAACGAAAGGGTAGCGAGTCGCTAACCCAGGCGGGAAGGAGGGAAACCAGGGTGCGCGCTAATCGCGAATCGATGCTGTTCGCAGGTGTGAATATCTGGGATACCTAGGTCAGTATTATACCCTGACTCCATATCACTTGACATTTTTCAAAATGTGATGCTGCAACGTGAAATAACCTAACGGGAAAATAGTTTGCCTAACACGATGCATTGCAGGGGAGGCAACTATGGTCCATTATGTAGGCAGCTTCAACGGGCCGGCCTGCAAGTCGGCTGGGAAATGCTACCATGTTCGTGGTCCCTACTCCTTTCAGCTGGTCGGGGCGTTACAATGAAACCCTGGGGATGAATAGGGTTAGCTATGTACAAAGCAATCGAGTTTAGACGCCCTCTAACCGCATTACACATCCATCCCACGAAAGTCCAGCATAAAATAATAGACTAAGTTGAACTAAGTTAGACATATGTAATAAGTCCTCAGCAGGATCTTGTAATTTCCCCAGGCCTTGTTTTCAATTTGCATGAAATCTTTCTTACATACATCTGCCTATGTTACCGTAGGTATGTATTAATCTTTTTCTTCCCATTTTGTTCTGCCCGCGGGGTATTCGGAGGATCCTGTACGCCCCGGGATATTCTTCACGTGGATGGGACATGCATCGGGTACCCAGCATGTGATGGAGATGTTCCCATTAGCCATTCATTCCGACGTCGTTAGTAATTCCAGCTCGACACGCACGATCCCGACGACCCACGGCTGATGTTCGATTCTCAACCCATGAGCTGATAAAAATTGGACCCAAATTCAGTCTTGAAACTTACAAGCCAGCCCCTATTCTAACAGCCCTGACCTGCAACAGGTTCAGCCGCCAGGTAGAAGCATTCCCGAAGCGTTACCAAGAGATCGATAGGGGCTTAGTTACGAGAGGGGGCTGATAATGAGGATAACGAGCTAGGACCAGATGTCTAAGTTGAATGGTCCTATATGTGGATCTGGGTATGCTCAAAATATCCAGTATCCACTCGGGTTACGAAAACAAACGGGGTTGGACTGGTAAACTAGTCCGAATTCTTCTCCTCGGTTGGTTCTCATTCATGATGCCCTGTCGGTAGAATTGGCAAGTCGAGGTTGGCGTAATCAACTGAATTCCTACCAGATTCAATGACATTATCATCTATATAATAGACGAATTACAGCTAGAAGCTAGGATTATATCTCCATCCTTCATCTCCATGCAAGGTTGCCAAGACGGGAGTCAAGCCACGTGCTCCCCACAGATTAACTGTCTATGTAAGCCATGTGGCGCCGGGGAGTAGGGCACGGTGTTATACTACGAGGAGCGTATTGGCTGGGAACCCTTGCTACCTGATTGGGCACCTGCTTCGCGTTCATTATTGACATCGTACATGCATAAGCTATGGCTAACTACGGGGAAGCTTTAGCAAAGTGCGGGATGACTTGAAGGAAAACGCGTTGAGACATCAAGAAGTTAAGTTGAGTTGACTTGGTGGCTTGATACTAGTTCAAAGAGACAAACTAGAAGCCTCCAGGAACTTTCTAAAAACTCCGAACTCCACGACGGGAAAGCCTTTTAATTACCTAGAGTCGAAAACCCACAGACAAGTTTAGTACGTAAGAGGCTGGCTCATATGATCCTCAACTTGGGGACTTCTCAAGTACTCATGTCAAAGCGGAGATCGACAATCTGCGAATAACCCTCTGCGGCAATGTCGACACCGCATATAAACCAGGTTCATAACTCTGCCAGGGAGTAGAAACGTGGCTGTGGAGACGTTTGTGGGACCCTGCCGGCGTGATAATGCTCGGTATCTGCTAGACATTGCCAAGTATAGGCGAACCCGATAGGGATCAGTCGGCTATAGGATATAGCTTGTTGTGTCGCATTCCGTATCACATTAGCAGTGTCATTATTGGGAAGATTTGGGAAAAAGGCTACTGTGATGAAATCAACCCAGCAGCAGGCATTGCAATAATAGCTATGCTATCATAGCAAACAGCGATCTATCTATGGTACACCCCTCAATTCCAGTCGATGGCTGCTTAATACGGCATACATTTTAATGGAAAATGGTCCGAACGCTCTTATTCGACCGGTCTTTAACATGTATTGGTGCAGTTGGTTCGAATTGAACCGAAATGTGTAACCATACCACATCGCTCTTGGTTGCCCGAGCTTTGTAAGTGGCACCACCCCAGAGACCTGGTAGCTAGAAATCATAGGACGCGACTAAAAAGAAATTCGTCGTTTTACTAATCGCTTTGCGCGGGTCTCCCTAGTCGATGTCTCTTCAGGGGTATAACTTTTCTATCTATAGGCGTGCTAGGGTCATAAGCAATACCTCAAGGGGGGGCAAATTTACGGATGCCTATATCGGAACTATCTACGTGTATATATATATCTCTACATCCACCCTCGCCTTACATAGTTCCCTTATTCTTCTTATCTTCACTATAACATCAAAATCACTTTGAATACTATATACCCACAAGCAATTAACTAAACTCTTATACTATAACCAACTGACTTTAACACATCCAATATGGCCGGGCAAGATTTTACAGGAAACGCTTTCGTTACTGGCGGAGGTAAGAACTATCCCTTGGGAAGAGCTTCTTTCATAAGTCTAACTTCACACAGGTAGTGGGATATCAAAGGCAATCTGCGTGGCATTTGCAAGACGCGGGGTACGAGGACTAGTAGTGGCGGATATTAACCTCGAGCTCGCGATCAAGACCGCCGCAGAGAGCAAAGCGGTCGCCATAAATCCCGAGTTCCGCGTAGAAGCTTACCAGCTCGACGTGGCGCATCCAGAATCCGTCCAAAACGCCATTGACCGCATGGCGGACACATTCGGGCGCATTGACTACGCCATAAATGGAGCTGCTGTACGTTTCTACGATTTAACACTACTACTTACGATTCACAATATTAACAGTATATGTCACTATGCTTAGGTTCTTGGAGAGTATAACGAAGTATCAGAGACCGGCCTTGACACGTTACGGAGAACCTTCGAAGTCAACGTACAAGGATCATTCCTAGTATTAAAAGCCGCCACGAAAGTCATGGCGTCCCAAAAACCCGTCATGATCGACGAATCACTCCCGGCGCGGGGTGTATCCCGTGGGGTTATTGTCAACATTAGCTCAGTAGTTGGCCACATCGGTCTACCGAAAATAGTGCAATGCGTTGCCTCGAAACACGCGGTAATCGGTTTAACCAAGACTGCGGGTAAGTGACCGCCATTGCATTTTATACGTCCCCATAACTACCGAAAACCTTGTTTGCTGATTTTCTTCGCAGCTCTCGACAATATTAAACACAACATTCGCGTTAACTGCGTCTCACCGTCATGGGTGGATACTCCTGTGGTGCAAAGTGCCGTCAAGAGTATGCCGTCGTTAGAAAAGACAATCGCGTCCCACTTACCAATGGGGCGGATGGGACTCCCGGAGGAGATTGCAGACGTGGTCCTCTTCCTATGCAGCCCGGGTGCGAGTTGGGTTAATGGTACCAACTTCATCGTTGATGGGGCCATGACAGTTGGTCCCTGCAGTCCGGACATGTGATCATCATACTATTAGTGGGCACAGAAGGCCAGCCTTAAGGAAAGCCTCGCGGAGTTTAGAGATTTGGTTTATGCGAAGAGCACTTTTTACCCCTTATTTCTGGTCTTGGTTTGGGGAATCAGGGGAAATGTTGGGCACCTAACATGCGGTCAGCCCCTCATATATCAGGCATTCCTGTAGGTTATAGGTAGCTTCTTGAATGAAAACAAGAAAAAATAACAATTCACAAACATGGTTCCGGGTCTGAATAGTGCAAGGTCCGTGCTTGTAAGGCGCTATTATTAGCGAGATTATCATTTTAGTCTCGTTCCATTTTGATTCTATCGAACATTCGGATAAGATACCCGGCTCCTTGGTTATGGATCGTCAGTCGTCTATCCCCCTTACTTCCAAGTTTCTACCTCTCACGACCAAACTTCGCGGGCTGAGTAGGTGCGTTGTCAAGAATCTTCTCTATCTCCTCCAATACATCCGGTGTTATCTTATCCACCAACTTAAGAGCTTTGACGTTGTCTTCGATTTGCTCAACTTTTGTGGCGCCGAGAATTACCGTGCTGACATTCGGGTTCTTGAGAGTCCAAGCCAAAGCTAACGATGCAGTAGTTCCACCAAGGCGTTCCGCAATTGCGGTCAGCTTCTTAACCTTCTCAAGCTTCGCTTTACCCTCCTCCGTCTGTAATGACTTGATAGTACCGTCAAAGAACTCTCCGTGTTTGGCGAAACGCGATCCTTCGGGGATACCGTTGTTGTATTTCCCAGTTAATAGGCCAGAGGCGAGCGGAGACCAAATTGTGGTACCGTACTTGAATTGATCAAAGAGCGGTGCGTATTCAACCTCGAATCGCTGGCGGTGAAATGCGTTGTATTGGGGCTGCTCGACCACTGGTGCGATGAGATTATATCGCTCTGCGATCTGGGTGGCTTCCATGATCTGGGTAGCACTCCACTCTGACGTACCCCAGTAATAAGCTAGGTTGAGGTTTCGGATGACTTGAGTGAAGCCCTCCACGATTTCCCTCATGGGCGTAGCATAATCAGGGCGGTGAGCGAAAACAACGTCAACATATGGTTGTTGCAGACGTTCGAGAGAAGACTTAAGACCCTCAACAATATGTTTTCGGCTAAGTCCGCGAGTGTTGGGTTCCTTGCGACCGGTACCAAAGAAGATCTTAGTGGTAAGGACATATTCGTCACGAGGCCAGTCAAGTTCTTTCAAGGCGTTACCCATCTCCAGCTCAGACTCTCCCGAAGCATAAGTCTCTGCTGTGTCAAAGGTGTTGATACCATGGTCCCAGGCGGTCTGAAGGCATTTTTTGACAATCTCGCCCTTCTCTGTACCTCCATAGGTTAACCATCCACCCAAAGACAGCACGCTCACCTTCAGACCCGTTGGGCCGAGATGGCGGAACTGCATGTCCTTGGGATCATATGCGGATCTTACGGCTGGCATTGTAGCTATTCTTCTTGAGTGCTGTATCTGGTTTTTGGGGATGATGGCTGAGAACCTGTGAAATACACGAGACATGAGGGGAAGTGGAAATTTATTTGTAGGCAGTTTTTTTGGGTTATGCAATGGCGAGAACGGCTTAATGGGTTAAGATAATAGTATAAGTCATTTAGCATAACGTCAGTAATATACTTAACCCCATTAAACCTCCCGAGGTATCTTATCGTAGTTTTTTTTATGTGAGTGTACATTTGCTTAACAATCCATTCCGCCTTTCATAACTCCGATACTAGTATCTCATTATCGAATTACTTGACCTTTCTCGGTTTATTAAGAACCTTGAATGCCATGACGCAATTGAGTCTCCACTAAGACTAGCATAAATGTTATCGTCCATACTACTACGAGAATAGGCAAAAGCCGGTAGCGTCATCACTAACCTAGTAAGCTATCAGTCAGTAGTGTCGGCTAAGTCTGTTCAGGGCACATGTAAGTGATAACTTGGGTCCTAATATCATCATGTTACAGTTATAATTATAGGTAGGTAGTTACTACAAGTATATACCTTCCAAGTCTTTATATTAATGCTACACCGAAAATATCATCCACATTCGCACGGTAAAATTCTAGCTGTTCAATCGAATGATTTTTCTAGCACTGAAAGGGAAGTCAATATGTGAAATATTTCTAGTTTTTATAAGCTTAAAATCTACATGTACCTAGGTACTTGCCTATAATTATAGTCTAAGCACGATGACAAGCCTCTATATATGTACGATGCACGAGGAACCAAAAAGAACCTAAAATCTCGTAAATACTCTTAAGTCCGTATGTAATTAGTAACGTCGCATGTCATATGGAGTAGGATTACGCCGAAAGAGTCATATATTTATTCAATTGGCTTCAAATCAGCACGCGCGTGTATTTTGTAATATGCTATTAGTCTGGTGTCTGGTATAAAACATCGCAATTGCTTGTTTAATGCCATGATAAAACTCATATCCTTTCTATATTACTTCTTGCGGCTGCAAGGCGAACTATCATTGGTTACCATGGGCATGGTAAACTTAATATTGGTAAGCACTTTTATCGCATTAGATTGGCCTATTATAGGAGACCTCTTCGGTCTTAGTAAAAGGTAAAGCGGCGAAAATCCTTAAGCTCTATGGAAGAGGCTTATACATTCACATTCTTGGATATATTGCTATTGGTCTATACTCATACTCAGGTATACATACCTCTTGCTTCCAACCGTATTAGAGGAGTTACCTTAGGTACTTATCCGCCTATGAAACCAAAGCGAATTGGAGCCGTATACCTTGGGTACATGTTAGTTGACGTTATTTTCAAAAAGGTGGCTATCTAGAAGCTCCTCTACTAAATATTACTGGCCTTCCTCAAATGACGGTTACCCTATAGTTATTTTCGATTGTGCCCCAAAAGATCGTGCCCAACGTTGTCATAGTCTGGATAGAATTAAGACAAGCTCATGTCCTGATTCGAACCACGGACTACCTCCTATACATGTCTCATGACGTGGGCTGTCAACTGCGCATTGATGATCCGCCAAGAATGCATGAAACAAGCTTCAACGTACACAGAGCATGCAGACAGTACATGTTGTGGCACAAAACGAAACGATATAAATTTATTCGTCATAAGTACACGCTTTTGTACTCCCGCCCCATATCGTTTATGCTCCTGGATGATAATTAGTCTACATGCTCATTATTTAGATAAACAATCAATAATATGAGAAATTTCATCGACCAGTCAAGTTCCCTAAACATGCGTATCTTCTTGCGTATCAATATTATGCTGCTTCTGTTGCTTCTCCCTCCATGACACGTAGTACCAGATCCCAAGCGTTAGTAGGGTCAATACTATAGTGAACAAGATGTATATCCAGAAGTAACGTGAGACCACGGTATTGCCGTCGTCACCAGGAAACCAGTTAAAGAACTGCATGGAGAAAACGCTCTGCCGGGGGTGGTTAATTATGACCATGCCTTTCAGGCGGAATAGCAATCCCGCATCAAATAAATCATCACTTACCGCACAGAATGTCCCTGGGAGAAACACCATTGTCACTACAGCGATAGATCGCATGTGTCGTGAATCACGTCCCGTTGCCAGCGCTATTTCGACATTGGTGTCCCCGTGGGACTATCAAGAGTAATGTTAGTGAATAGACTATTTATATATTAGTAGGATTGGGAAGGTAGATCGGACCCATTGCGTAGCCATTGCCATTCCATCAAGTCTCATAGTACATTCTCGAATTTTATCTTCGTACTCCTCTATCATAGCCTGAAGGCGGCTATTGATTCTGGCTCCGAATATCCTCATCCGGTCATTACGCGACTCGACGTTTTCCTTGCTTTGTGGAATGGTCCTGTGTTGGTTGTATTCACTAACGGCACCGACATACGACATCTCGTAGGACGGATGGCTAATTGACTCCGTTAATGAGCTTCTCTCGGAGTCGCAACTAACATATGAGATATCGCCATTACTAATTCGCGAGTATTGTCTCTCATATGGTCCAAATAGAGTATTTCTGAGCTCATCAATATGCCTAGCCATCTTAAATAACTGTGTATTCCAAGTAACCAGGCTGTTCTTTAGATATGCTGTGTCGAGCCACTGCGACCTCTTATCCTTGCTTTGCCCCTTAATGTTAGGGCTGCGTATCTGTTGTTCCACTGGAAGTTGATAATCTAGTTCGAATATCTTCTCTTCAATATTGTTCATATAATCCTCAATAATATTGAGGTGTCGGGTTCTCTCTAGCTCTGCAAAAATTCCCGGTAGGAGTAAAGGGTAGCTAGCTTCTACTCCAGGATAGCTTAGTCGCGTAATAACTTCATTCTCGATAGATACGGGACAGCCGAATAGCACAGCATACGTTAGTCCCGAACGTGGGAAATGGGTAACAGTTAGTGCGAGATCCGCTTCCCAGGCATTTGTAGTTCGACAGTTGTATACTATTTTTCTCCTCGTGAGCTTTACCTCTCCACGTGCACGAGAATCATAATGTTAATGTACGTACTATACGCGGGATCCATGGAGCTCTCTAGTTTGATCTCCAGCTCTACCCAAGAGAAATGTGGTACATCAGATCGATTTATAACTCGGGCTATTGACCCGTGAATGTAAAACCTTTCCGACATTAATTGGAATATTTCGAGAGAAAACGGCAAAGTCCTGACACTGCGGCTTCCACCCTTATTCAGAAAAGTTTCCTTTTCATGGTTCATCCCTCTATCCACTTCAGTAGGGTAGTTCGTGGTCTAAATCTATGAGTTAGCGACTCATCAGTGTCCTTCGATGCTGATTTATGGCTGTTATATACTGTTGAGAGCTTCATTTGACCGGGCCGTCTTGCGAGTCTATCATTACAGTTAGCATCCTAATATACGAGTTTTAAGTACCATTATTACATCAGTATAAGTCCTGACTTTAAGCTATCAGGCCGAGGAAGCTTTTTGAATAGTTAGCAAAGGTACCTTTGACGCAGTAAGTTCCATTTGCGCGTGTACCGCATTAATCCATTTCTTCCAACAATCATCCGTATCAATCGAATTGATAACTAACTCCTAGAAATGTAAATCAGTATGTCGTTACGAAATCCGAAGGATAGATATAGTCAATCTAACCTGCTTAGATCCCTCCAACTTTGTTACTACTGTTGACTCCCCTGGCTCGTATTTGAAAACTTTTCGAAAGTCCTTTTCGTTTATCCCAATGCTTTCTCTCGGCAAATCCATCTCGTTGATATATATATACCTATATATTAGAGCTAGGTATGCCTAAATCAAATGATTGAAATTCCTCTCCGTTCCAGTTCGGGCAGCATTTATCGGAATTGCAGATACAATCGTGTCAGGACAGTGAACAGTGCATTATACACGGCTAACTACATGGCTTTATAGGCAATAAAAGGCTACCCGCTGAGCCCCATATACTTGTCCGAGGTTACTTGTCTGGAGTGAGCACTTAAAAAAGCCACTTAATTCGTGCACTCGCATTAAAGCAGATGAGTCCGTACTCCGTAGCAACGCCACGTTGACTTGAAATATCCAAGGTTGAGAGCTATAGTAGTTTTACAGCTAGTTTAAGAGGTAGGTAGTACTCAACACTAATGATATTCTCATCCATGGTTAACTTGCACACACAATTACCCATTCGTACAAAATATCAAGAGGCTACCCCTGTATTTAAATGTCCTATCTAAGGTGCTACATAAAGAGGTACCTCCTTAATGCAGTATGCAGTATGCAGTGTAACCTACTCGTTATCTTTCAGCCTCCAATAAACACAGCCACGTACTTGTATAAGGCACTTCTTTAGGCATATTGCATATTAGGCTCGCGGGCGTTTTCCCCACTTTCGGGATTATGCTTTTTAGGTACTCCGGCGGCGTTAAACAGCATATCTAGGCTTATTGCAAGGCTATGTCTCTTTCTAGCTAAGTAAGAGTGTGCCTCAAAAATCAAGGATTGATTGACCGAAGTGTACTTGTTCCAAGTTACAGCCCCCTACGAGATTATGGCTGCAATCTCAGTCTTCCGAGCGCGATATGCCGATGAAATTTCGCTGTATGAGCAGCTAAGAAAGGTATTTCCAACAGGTATAATTCAAATCAACGTAGGTATTCAAACATCACGAAGCATGTTCCTCCCCAATAATAGTAGTTCTAATAGTAACTTCCAGTTCCAACGAGGTCGATTCTACTGCACAATCCCGCGAACCTTAACGCCGGTAAGATATTCGTACTAAAGGGGGGGAAAGGGGTTCAAATAAAGTAACAACCCGATATCTGATATTTAGTATTAGAAAGAGACCGAAGATGTTCAATCAGGACTTGAGAGCGAACACTATGAAAGATGATGAGATATAAAGGACGAATCCGTGTATGTTTTATTATTGCGAAGCTAGGATGGCAAGATATCGCACCGGTACTTGATCAAATCGTTTAATAAATTCAACAAACTCACTTCTAATTTACCAAAATCAGCATTAATATAACATTTCCCCAAAGCTTATGCATTGGATCTTGGTCTGATCTGGAGGTTCTCCAGAAGCTCGTCTCCGTCCTCCCATATTTGCTCGGCTCTTTGTGTAGGACCATGAAATTTCCTAAGATGAGTCTTTGATTTCGTAATTCGTTCTTTGGTAATCTCACTTAGCGATCCTTCGACAGCAATAGGAGGAATGGTCGACCGAGAGCTGTTGGGTCGTGGGGTTAAACAGTAATCCTCACTTTTTGGTTGGTTACATTTGCTATGAAATGAATTGAGAAACTTAAGTAGCTCTCCTGTCCTTGCTCTCTTCTCGCTCTGAGATTCCACAATCAACATCTTCTTCTCGATCAGGTCCAAGAACTCATGCACGAAGGAAGTGCATTGGCTATGGCGATGCATTTCGGCAAACCACTTTCTATAAATCAGCTTCTAAACGGTGGGTGGGTAAGAGATATTTACTCACATCTTTTACCTGCTCCTTTACAATAAACCCATGTCGCTCATCTTTCGTTTTTACAACTTCGAAATACAGTGGCGTATCTGGTCCACGGATATAAGGCGTTGTTCGCTTTTTTTGGAACTGTAGTCTAAGTTCTTCGCCGCCAAGGAACCAGGTTAGCAAATCGAGGAAGAGACAGCCGAGGGTCCAAATGTCGAAGGCCCTACTAATGCATCCGCCTTCCATTTCACATTCGGGTGGACGAAATTCTGGGGTTGCTGAAATATCCTTGTTTGGAATATTTGATTTGCTCCAGTCGTGGTGCATAGAGCCGAGTCCGAAATCGGAAAGAACAAGATCATATTCATTGCTGTTGCTCTTGAATAGAAGTATATTCTCAGCCTTGATGTCGCCGTGTCGGCCATATTTCCTCTTATCAGGTTTCAAAGAATCCTGCTTAGGGGGGTTGTGAATCAGGTGGACGGCTTCTGTGAGATGGAGACATTGTTTGGCAAGCCACCGAGCTGTCTTAAGGTCATTTTTTGGGCTGGGATTCTGCTCGAAGTAATCGATGAGATCGCACTCCGCTCGTGGAAAGAGAAAGCAATACCGGTTTCCGTGCTTGTAAGTCATCAAAATGGTTACAATGTGTGGATGTACGGTCCCGTCAAATCTCGTAAGCATTTCTTCTTCTTTCTTAAATTCTTTCTCATTTTGTTCATTATTTGAACCTCCCCGAAGCTTTTTGAGCGCGAAAGGCCCTTCAGGTGACAAAAGCTAAAGTATATGGGTTATATATGTAAGCGACTGGTACATAATATCATTATCCGGAATTGCACTTACTGGCCCAAACACACCCTGGAAGTTGTGAGAATTTGGATGGATTCTTACGAAATAGACATCGCCAAAACCTCCCCATCTCGTCTCCATTTTATGTTTGCTAGGAGTTTGTGCCCCCAAAGTATCAGGCTCGTCATCGCTGGACCCAGACGCCAAGTCTCCAATGAAGGGCATGACTACTTGGCTCGGAAACTCCCTATGTTTACCATATGCTAGAAATGGAACACTCACTCGCCATTTGTACAAGCAGAAGTCTTTTGTATCGCGTATCCCCCATTCGTGAGTGTATGCCTGCAGGTTCTCATCAGTGAAAATAGGCAACGTTTGGTCACATATGCCTCCATCGATGAACATAAATATGCACGCTCCTCTGTTGATCAAAGCGAGTAATGCAAATAATCGGATATATGTCTGGCTTTTGGTTTCAGTTAAGTTATCCTCGTGCTGACACTCCTTGCAAATGAGTTCAAGGTAATGTTCTATATTCGTATTTGCTAGGAGATGCCCTTCTTTAGTAGCTTCTTTAGAGTAGTGTTGGAGATACTTTCGAACTCTAGATGTAGGAAGAAGTTCTTGCAGGCAATTTAGGGTCAAGAAGTTCTTCTCGTCGGGGTGTATATTCATCTTATCGAAAAGTAAATCACTGAGAGAATTGTATGTGTCGGGGTCGCGATGAGGCTGTGATGTTCTACTAGTCAGTATTGACGTGCCAACGCTTCTAGCGTCGGCCGTCGCTAGGGTAATCGTTATAGGGATATCAGCCATGATTTTGGTGAACTTTACTTCTAAGTTCCTAGTTCCTCCTGGGGTAAATGTTAAATCTGGTCTACCTTTATATGTATGTATCCATCGGTACTATCACGGTAAGGTTGCCTGGAATAATAAGGCTACTGTGAAACATGATAAAATGTGTCATATCATAAAGCTTCCGTGATTGCTCATTAGATCTATCTGAGCCTTGTCCTGTGAAACTTCAAAAGGCAATAATAAAGGAAGAACTAGTAAGGCATCTAGTTGCCTTGATTTTCTTCCTTGCTACTCTTGTCTGGTTGGCTCGTTGAACGATATTTCATGAAATCAAGTTATTGCCCTAAGTGATTTACCGATGGGGGGCACAGCGCGGGATGAAAACGGAAAATATTTATCTGCATACAATTTACAAGTAGGTCACATATGCAAATCAGATGAGCTCATGTTTACCGCCCATTACCTGTGCAGAAATCACGAAAGAATGGTGTGTAAGCTGGTAGATGCATAGCCACTTTTAATATAACTGACAATAGCAAGCACATGGCTGGCTCACTGCGTGTTTTCTAGCAAAGCCCTCAACCTAGAAAGAATATTATAGCCAATTAATAAGTAGTCCTAAGCCAAGTGCAACTTTAATAACAGCCCTAAGGCTGACACGAAAATAGTCCTATTTCCTAGAATGGACAAATAATATAGCTTTTACTTATCTCTAAAAGGATGGCTATCTTGGAAACATGAAATTAAAACTTTCAGCCATTTGGGTAGGCCTTTTCTTTCCGAACTGGTCTGCTTTCGGCCGAGAGCCTCGCCGTCTTTACTTCCAATCCTCACGCCTAATTCAGGGGTTTGCCCATCCCGATGGCTTAACTGGACCGAGGCGCTCGACTTTATACTCCTTTCAATATTGCTATTGTGGTAAGAATCTATATGACTTGATATACTTAACCGGGATATTTTTTTGTCCTGTTGGGTTGTTTTATGTGAACCTCCACCGCGCCGAGTCATAGTAAGGTCAGCCTTGATATCCGAGTGTATAGTATTTTTAGGCAATGGCGAGGCTATAGATAATTCGTCATGCTGTTGTGGCATACTTACCCCTGGATTATCTTGTTCCTTTGACGTATTAGTGCGATGACCGGTAATCAGCGCATTTGACGGAGTAGCAAAAGTAGCAGGGCTTAATTCCGAGGGGCTTTCCACCACCTGTCCATACAACTCATTAGATACCGAGCTAACAAGGATATCGAGCTTTTTATCATGCTCTCCGCCCCATCTATCGGTTTTACCATTTCCAGGTGGGTTGATTCCTCCTCCTGTAACTTTATACTGCCGTTCGCTATTGAGTCTCCTCTTGTCACCCGTGTTAATAGATTGTTCTGGAAATTCCATCGATTCCATATCTTGGAGATCTTGACGGTCCGAGTCCTTTTTCTTCCTTTCCCTTCGAATATAGTGGGCGCTCTTAAAGCAGTAGTTTTCATCGTCTCTGCACTTTCTGTACATGAGGTCTAACTTGGCAACAACCTCTTCACATTTATAGCGTTCCTTGTATCGAATACGAAGCATAGAGTCAGATATAAGATCCAGGAAGTCGTGTATGAATAGAGAACATCCTTCGGCGGTATGGAGTCTATTGATCCACTACATGAATTTATCTTCAGTATTACCCGATCAAGGAATAAAACGATACTTACCTTAACTACACAGAATTTTAAGCTTGCCCTATATTTGAATCCTTTATCTTTACTTCCCAGATTGAAGAAGTCATCCCAGGGGATAGAGAACGAACTTTCGATAGCTCGCTGTTTCGAGAATTCATCTACCCCATCGTTCCAGCCATATAGGTACCAGGTCAAAAACTCCAGGTACACACATGCCAGAGTCCAGATATCCCAAGGTTGGAATATCTCTTGAGTCAAGTCGCTCTCGGGTGCCCGGTAGGTTGGAGACACAAATAGGCCATTGATGTAAATAATTCGATTCGATGTGTCGCGGTGCCAGCGTGTCAGTCCAAAATCAGATATTTTCAGTGTACCCATCCAAGGCCTATCCTCGTCTCCGGGGTCCTGGAACCAAAGAATATTTTCTGGTTTGATATCACCATGCCTCCCCTTCCGTGCATCGTCTGGGCTTATTGAAGGCTTCCCAAAGTTATCTCTATGGATCAAATTCAGACCCTTTGCAATGCCTCTACATTGACTTGCAATCCAGAGTGCCAATTCGTAGGTTTTGTTAGGCTTTGGATATTTCATCCAGAAGTGCTTAAGATTCCCTTCCGCCCAAGGGAATATAAGATGGTAATAACCACCGTGACGATACGTCGCTAAAAGTCGTATTAAGTGTGGGTAGTGCCCACTACTAAAGCGCTTCAACGATTCGACTTCGGCATCGAATTGTCTCCTGTCCTTAGACCGCAGCCTTTTAATAGCAAAAGCGTCAGGCTACTTTCTAATTAGTACCTAAGGTAATATATCAAAGTTGGTTCTTTATTAAACATGATTACCTCATCTGTCTTCGATATATCCAGTCTATAGTGAGCAGGGTGGATCAAGACACGCGAAACATCGGCGTATCCGCCACCCAAGATGTCCCCTTCATCAAGTCCGCTCTCATGGATGAATGGGAGAGGGACACGACTGTGTAGTGACTGAAATATAACTCTTCCCTCAGCCATATTGAATATCGGAGACAACACAACCCATTGGAAATTTCCAAAGCCCTCAGCATCGCGCTTACTCCACTCATGTGGATTATTCAGGCACTCAATTATGTGCTCCTCGCATCGGTTAGTATGGCAAACCCACTTCCTTTCGGTGTTCTTAACAAAAGGTAGATCTTTATCCCACAGATTTCCCTTAATAAATGATTTGATCCTCTCGGGAACATTGAGTAGGACTAGCACAGCGAAAATCTTTCGTCGAGACGTATACATATTCTTTCCTGTGATAAGATCAACGTACTGAAACCCATCACAGACTTCATTGACCCAAACAGCTAGATCGTTATTTGTTGGCCGTTCCGGTAAACAGGACTGGAACTCTTTTTGAATGCTTTCGCGCGTGATGATCTGGTTGAACTTATCGAGTGGGATAAATTCTTGATCCCTTCCTGAAACCCTCCTAGTCGCATTCTGGAGCTCATCTTCTAGTCTAGGGAGGTTTCTTATTTGTGTGTGGGTTCTACCCTGGTTTGGAAGCGCCCCAATAGTTGTATCATCTGAAGTCGATGAACGCGTTGGCGGTGATATCTATAAGAAACCCTTATCAGGAGATATTAAGCCAAGTTCATTCGTTTGTGACACTTACCAGGGCTTTATTCATCTTGTGTTCCCCTCTAGACCTAGGATGAAGCTGGAGGGTAAATGTACCTCAAGTTAGGTTTTCAGATACCAAGTGAGTCAAGTAGAATACTCCTATATTTCGTTTCTCCAAACCTATGAGATAATCTGATGCTAGAGTAGTTTAAATAATACCATCAGGGGCGCTTTACGCTCATAATTTAAGACTTACCTGTAGATCCATCTGACAAATCAGAACAACGAGTCACGTCACAGATTCTATTCAAACCTTTCCTCCAGCCAACCTCGTTTACGGGGAACAACCTCTAAATGGTAGTTCCAGCTATCCAGTGACTAGAGTAGGCGGTTTTATGTGCGGTGTGTATCTGTCAGCTATTTACAAAAACGTTAAATAATTCCTGCAAGTGGCCAGCCTTTCCATGATTATAGCTGAGCTCCATGGGGGCTATTCTCGGGAGATCACTAGCAGTAAGTCTCAAATATCTTTTTTCTAAACACCTGCGTTAAAACCAACGGCAAACTTTCTACATTAGGTACCTATAAGTAGGTATCTCGGATACAGCTAGCTTGTTGCTTTTGGCTATTTGAAATTATTAACTATACTTACCACTCGATCAAACACTCTAAGCTTAGTCACTATGAAACATAATGCTAGGAAATGGGTACTCAAAGCAATCCCATGGAATACCACTAGTCCTTTACTATATTATGAGTAGATAAAATACCCCAAAAGAGAATCTAGCCATTATTTTGTTATCTAGGAGGTAAGTCTGACACACTCAATGGTAAAGTGCAATCAGCTCGCCACTCACTTCACTAAATCCTATTCCAGGGCTCGCACATCAATGTACGACAGAGAGATGCAATCATCCAACAAATGATCATGGTCGACGGTGATCAGAGTCCCAAAGGTGTCTGATCTACATAGGTAGGTAGCCGTAAGTGGCATAAAAGCCACAAACCTTGATTACGAATTCTCGTTACCGTTATCGTACGTCTAGCTCGCCAATGTATTTTCTTTATCATAGTAACCTTCTAATGCAGGTAAGTGACAGGGCAACACTATTGAATTCGTGCATTTCCCCTATTCCTTTTCGAGCCATTCAGCTGGTAGGTAGTTGAAGCTGAAAACTACAAAACAGCCCCCAAGGTAAGATTCGGGTGTAATCAATTTATAGTCATGATTGGTCCCTTAGAAAGCACAGCGTCCAACGTAACATTATTATTCATAGATGAGCCTTATTCCAGATTGGGGCGCTTTGTGGCTTGGGTCGCGTATAAGTGAAGCGACCCATCCCCAAAGTCATATTCAGCGCTACAGTGCAGTCAGGAGTATTCTTCTTTTCTCTAGAATATTAGACTAGCTTCACCTCACTACGATACAGTTTAAATCCCACTTTTACAGCAGTAGTTACTGAAGCTATGGTTCGCAGAGCCAAGAACACGAACGATTTTGATGTATATACCCCTATTCATTCGAAGTACGTTCCAAATCCCGAAAGACTTAGTGAAATCCTAGAAGATCAGCTTGGAGCCGGCGAGTATATAGTAGAAGTATGTCTTTTGTCACTACCACCTACTACGTAACTTATTACTAAAATAGAGATAGATGCGCCATAATACCTATAACATCAAGTCCAAAGAAAAGCTCGATCACGTGGGTAGACATCAAAAGGCATTATGCCAGCCCATATTGCCGTAAATTAACGGTACTGTGATATTAGGGAACAATAGAGAGAATCCGACAATTGTCAAGCGTGACAAAAATGCCCACAGCAAGGCTAGCGCTCGCCGTATAACTAGACCTTCTTAACATGTTCGGACTCCGTACTGTTAACATGGGTTATACGAAGATACTAAAGAAACTTCGGGATAGGAGTCACCAAGTACTGGAGGGGAGTAAATAACTTCGGTTGTCTAGTGCAGAGTTGTTTGTTGAATTTTAGTTTATGTATTACCAGTCATGTGGGAGTATGTATACGGCGTTAAATGGCAATATGTTACTTAATTTTCTTGTTTTCACTCAAGTTTAGATTGTGTTCCTGACGCCAAATATATCCAATACCACACAATCTTCAACCAACCTATTCCATATTTTCTGTCAGAGATACCCCTTGATGGTTGTCATACGTAGAGTGAATGGTAGAAGCAGCAGCGAAGCTGCTGTATAGTAGCCGTGTAGTAGTATGAATCTATTAACGCTTGACCTTTCTACTCTCTTTCGAGGGGCGCTGTGCGCCCCTTATATATCTATTCTATGTAGATCTATGCCTGATTCATACTAGTGCCCCTTATACCCTGACATTTTCATATCTTCCACCCCTAACCCAAATCTTACAAGTCATATATGATTGACACGGCATATTTCTTACTATGCAATATAACCCGTAGCATTAACATGCAACCATTAAAATGAACCGAGGCTATTACATAGTACAGTGGGGACTATGGAGAGTCCGATAGAAGTCACATATATGGATTTAAAAGTATAAGAGGATATAACCTAATGCATGTTATTAGTATGAAAAGTAGGGAATCAAACAGACCAGCAACACCGTCTTCGCAATCCCTAGTGTTCGGTACGCTAGAGTAGTCGGAGCCTTGTATTTAATCCGTATAGTTCCTCGTTCAATATTCCCTATACTTCTCTCTTCGAAATGCCTACGGATCGAACAAGTTCATCGGCTGTTATATTATTACCATTATATAAATCCACTGTGGTCTAGTTGTCCTTAGTGACAATGTCGTGAAAAACGCTGTTAGGAGAGACATAACTGTGTGATATCATTTGCTTCGAGATGGAAGCCGCCGGGCTTACGACCGAGTTCCCCGCCATCGTCATCCGTGGCGTTTCCAATTATGCAGACACACAGAAGAACAAATTTTGGCGACGTTATGCGGCGGCGGGCGCCGCTAGTTGCCGCAAGGAGCTACTTTCCTATATAAATGCAGAAAGTAGTCATACGTTTCTAGAATCTAGACACGTTAACAAGAAATTTATTAAGTGCTCCGTTTTCATGCAGTAAATAAGTACAAAGAATCAAGAGTTCTTCTTCGAGCAAAGTCAAATGGTACCCAGGTACGTTCTATGCAAGTGATCAGCCAATAGCCGCCATAATCGGGCATCAAGTGGCTTCTTATCGAGGCCAATACTCAGCCCTCTTCCAGTGCATTCTTCGATTCATTCTTCGATTCATTCTAGCGAGCCTCAGTCACTACGGGTACTTCTTCGGACCGTAAAAACACTGCAGAATCTAACACAGCAATAAGCAACCGGCGCTTTAGCGAATACAATGACAGATCATGCCTATCAATCTACCTTCCACGGGCAAGGAATTCAAAACCAGGGATCTGGGAATGTCACTGTTGGTAGAGACTTAAAAATTGGTGTGTAGCAAGTGTCAATTACCATGTTTATTACTAACAGACCGAAAAGAATCTTCAAAAAATAACTGTCTCGCCGATTTATTCTTGACTGACCCCCGCCACGATAAGAAGCGCATCGAACAGACAAAGGGCGGCCTTCTACGCGACTCATACTGCTGGTCCTTAATCACGACGATTTCTTGCGATGGTGTGGCGAAGAGGGCGGGCGTTTACTCTGGATTAAAGGCGACCCGGGAAAGGGCAAGACCATGCTCCTCTGCGGCATTATCGACGAGTTGAAGAATCAAACTGCCAACACCGACCATATCTTATCTTTCTTCTTTTCTCAGGCTACAGACACCCGGCTGAACAATGCAACAACTGTATTACGCGGTCTTATCTACCTCCTCGTCGACAAACAGCCATCACTTATTTCACATATGCAGGAAAGGTACGACCACGTGGGTAAGGCACTGTTCGAAGGTGTAAATGCTAGATTTGCATTGCATGACATCTTCGAGAGCATACTACAAGACCCAAAACTTCCGACTACTATATTGGTAGTTGATGCCCTTGATGAATGCGAGACAGATCTCCCACGGCTTCTCAGCCTGATTGCTAACTGGCCCGTCAAATCTCGGGTTAAATGGGTCGTATCTAGTCGTAACAGACTGGATATCGAAGAGGAGCTAAAAGTTGCTATATCAGATGTCAAGCTATTATGCCTCGAACTTAACGAGTCTTCCATCTCAACAGCAGTCAGTAGCTACATCGAATACAAAGTGAACGAACTATCCAAGAAGAAAAACTACGAGAAGAAATTGCGTGATGAGGTCCTAAGTTACTTACATTCAAACGCGAATGACACCTTTCTTTGGGTGGCCTTGGTGTGTCAAGAGCTTGCAAGTCCTAAAGTCAGGCTTCACCATACGCTCAGCCGACTACGCGAGTTCCCGCCTGGACTCGATTCTCTCTACGATCGTATGATGAACCAAATTATCATGTCTGAAGATGTAGAATCCTGTCAACAAATCCTGGCTGTTATGCCAGTCGTATACCAACCCCTTACTTTAAAAGAACTAGCATCTCTTGTCGAATCTCTCAAAAACTCAGTTAACAACCAAGAGTTCCTAGAAGAGCTCATCAAGCTTTGTGGCTCATTTCTTGTTCTTAGAAAGGGGGTTGTTTTCTTTGTACATCAGTCCGCAAAAGACTATCTTGTCAAGAATGCGGCCAGCAGGAAATTCCCCTCGGACACAGCTCCTGAACATCATGCCATCAGTCTGAGGTCACTCAAGTCCATATCGGGAGTCTTTCGACGTAATATTTATAGCCTAGATGATTGGAGTTTGCCCGTGAGCCAAGTGATACCACCACATCCCGACCCATTAGCGGCCGTGCGGTATTCTTGTGTCTACTGGGCTAGCCATATGGCAGAGTGCCAATCCGATAACCAGGCACAGCACGACGACCTCCAAGATAATGGGACTGTTCATAAATTTCTACAGGAGCATTACCTTCATTGGCTCGAAGCTCTCAGTATTCTTGAAGGTGTACCATAAGGGATTTCGGGAATATCAAGATTGAATAGACTACTTCTCGTAAAAATGTAATCATGAAATTTATATGAAAAATTACCTTACTCTGTAAATAGGGGAAAGCCACAAAGCTTGAGGAGCTTATTCACGACGCATACCGATTTATTCGATACAATAACCCCGCGGTCAAGACCAGTCTGCTCCAGGTATATGCGCCAGCACTTTTTTTTAGCCCCCCTCGAAGCCTAATACGAATATTATTTGAGAGCGAGAAACACCCACAGATGAGTTTAGAGCCAGGCATCGAAGATCAATGGAGCGCGTGCTTGGAAACCATTAAAGACCGCGGCGTGACCTCAGTAGCCTTTTCGCACGACGGCAACAGGCTGGTGTCGGGTGACCGGTACGGTACGGCAAAGTTATGGGATGTAGAGACAGGCGCGTGCTTAATAACCCTTGGTGGTCATAAGGGAACTATCCATTCGGTAATGTTCTCCCCCGAAGGAAGCCTGATATCATCAGGTTCGGACGATAATACCATAAGGATATGGAATTCCACAATGGGAACATGTTTAACAACCCTAAACCATAAAAATATAGTTACCTCGGTGGCCTTTTCACTCGACGGGAACAGACTGGCATCAGGCTCGTGGGATAAAACCGTGAAGATATGGGACGTGGTGACATGCGCATGTTTAAAAACTTTCAACCACGAAGATCCTCTAGGGCCAATAAAACTTTCACCTGACGGAACCAGGGTGGCATTAATTTCGAATAAATCTAACGTTACGGAGATATGCGACATCACTACCCACACCTGTTTAGTGATTCCGATGGGTCACGGTGAAAGACATCGTCCGGTAGCCTTTTCGCCTAACGGGAGCCAGCTAGCAATATGTTCGGGAAGCAATGCTTTAAAGATATGGGACACCACAACGGCAATGTGCTTAGCAGCCTTCTATGACCACAGCTTCATGACTAGTCTGGTGGCATTCTCTCCTGTCAGTCAGCTAGCATCAAGCTCAGACGATGGCACAATCAACATATGGGACATAACAATGAGTGCAGACTCAGCCTTTTTTACAAAACATGACAGCCCTGTTGTAAGCGTGGCTATTTCAGACGACGACGCCTATATAGCATCGGCTTGTGATCATATGGCGAAGGTTATGGATAAAACAACAGGCACGTGTCTAGCAAGCTATATAGACGAACACAAATCTATTCATCGCGTATACTTCCCGCCTCTCGAGGGTCGCCTTTATATATCTACGCATGTTTCAGGACACATGCTACGATACTCCTCCCAGTTACCATCCTTCCTCTCCCCGAAATTTGTCCCCCTCCCACAGTGGCCTCCCAATGAATCTAAGATAAGACCGCCAAAGTTAAGAATACCAGGGGAAAACACATCATAGATTTACTGCGATGGTAAGGCGGTCATGTGGCTGCCTAGAAAATATCAGCCTAGCTGTATAAAATTCAATGCACAGACAATCACATTCGGTTGCCTTTCCGGTCAGGTTTGGATATTAAACTTTTCTTTCGCATAACGCCATAACGCGGTACCATATCCCTTACCAACTACCCCACAGGCGTGAGAGGGAAGACTTTATGCCAGAAATACCACAAAAGACTAGTAGCAATAGTAATCGGAATTGCAAACACCCAATAAATCCAGAACTTGCTCGATACGTTCCAAGAGCCAGATTCGGCTTGGAAATCGAAGAACGACATGCTGAAAACAGCGGAGAGGAAAGTAGCTGGCAAAAACATCATGGTGACGAAAGCAACCTTCCTCATTGATGCGCCATCTAACTGGGCAGCACGTCCAATCTGGACGGAAATCCCCGCATCGTACTGGGCAACAGTATTAAATGCAAGTTGAATCTCGTTCTGTAACCTTTCGCGATTAGAGATGGACCGGTGGAGGAGGTTATTAAGCATATGTCTGCAGAAAAGCAGCTGGCGGTGAACAGCTTCCGAGGCGTCAGTCTGTATCATCTTGTTTGGGAAGTTCTGTCTCAAGAATTCATCATGCTGCACCAGAATACCTCCTATGCTTTCAGCAGCAACATTGAGAGACTCTGTTACGTGAATAGCGTGTCGAGCGACATCGTGAAGATGTCTGTAGTCCGGTTGCGGCTTGCCTTCCGGCTTCCTCTCCGTCTCTATTGCCCTCACCTGGTTACGAATAGCCCAGACGGCAGAGTCTTGGAGGTCTACCACGTCGCTAGCCAGCCGGGCATAAACCCAGAACGGATCACCGAGACAGCTGGAGTCTGGATTTTGAAGCGAATCGGGTATGCGATCTACGATGGGAGACCGCGTATCGAAAGCAAGAACTATTGTCTGCTTTGTAGGGGCTAACCATCGTATAAATATATTCATTTTATGCCATTGATAATTCATCTTAGCATCCAAATGTTTGACCTCAAAATAAGCCCACGTACCTACAGCGGATTAGTATCGAGTAAAACCAAGTATGATAAGGTTATAAACACACTGAACCCCGTGACAACCCCATTACGTCTGTTTATATCACTCCCAAGGTATCCGTTCGAGTTTCGGCAGTAGTCCGACCACCATATCTGAGGAATAGAGAATGCCTTAGTGAACGAATTTCGGCACGAGAGACATGCGCGAATCACATTGGCACTTGCAAGACTTAAAGCTTGTTAACTTTCTTGCTCGTCACTCGAAGATCATTTACTGACATTATACATATCTGTGATTCTGCGTATATCGCCTGGCAACTGTCATCGCTATGAAATTCGTCGCTATTGACCCAGCGCTGATGCCAATGGTTATTCGCTGCGAGTTACATGGGTAAGCGAGGCCTCATCTTTCAAATGTAACGGCGTACCTGAATTCCACTGAAGTACGGAGATAGGAGGGCACTTTTGACAACTGACTTGAGACATTATAACGTTGAAGCGCTAATAAGAGCAGCTGAGAAATTTAAAATCAACTTAAACAGTCTTCGTAAAGGTTATAAGATGCAAAGTTAATATAAAAACGCGATGCAAGGCTGAACAAGAAAAACTGAGGTGGCCTTTTTACATTTTACAGCGTCCGCCACGATGCTCCAGTGACAAGCCATATAGAAGCGCCCTCGGTCCGAGTTGGCATAAAGATGCATGATAGGCGAACCACATATCAATCAAAACTTGCACGTAGTGAGGTTACTAACTGAAAGGCTCACAGAAAGGAGAACCGCGAGATAGACGATGCTTTAATAATTCACAGAAACGATTTGCTCAATCAATTTTCACCATAACTTCATTATGGGCGCGCTTCATTATAAGGGTAAATCATAAGGGTAAACCATAAGGGTAAATCGGCGTTAAATGTAAGTGGCACATAGAGCTGAATCATATCAAATTATGCAAATATTACAGGTCATAAAATGTTGCTGCAACAATTCCTTGTGGTTACAACGGCTATGTTATTCCCAGATATGCAGCAGTGATTCAGGTTAAGCATATCTTACATAACCCCCCATACCGCCGCTTCGATCAATTTCCCATCAGTTGAATCCTAACTTCAGTCTTCAATAATTACACCCTCCTTACGAGTAGTTCCAAAAGCCACGCATCGAACCAACTTTTCTCGCTATTCAGTTTGCAATAACAAGTTACTGTTTAACCTAGGTACCAGCTTTGCGATCTTGCGTAAACCTGGCACGAGCTTCCTGTTAGGGCGCCTTTTCTCCGATAACCCCTGGTTTCAGGAACCAGGGGTTGATTTCATGTTAAAAGACTCAGCAGCGTACATAACTCGGCTGACAACGATTCATATATTCTTCCTGTGGATTTATCTTCGTCTGATAGACTTACAAGACTATACATAGTGCTAGCTATACGTTGATATTACCTAACTGCCAGTGTAATTTACATTACAGCAACCATATCAACGGTAGGTACCAAATCAATTCAACATAGCCCTAGCAAGACTTGGGGTTGAAACGTAGATATTATATCACTTGTACTCTTACTAAATCCAACCTTTCTTCAAGTACGCTTAAAGGAATTGATGTAATAAAAGACTATCTAGGTACTTGTCAGCTAAAGTACAAAACTATCAAAACTCCGATAACTCCAATATTTTTTTAATTTATCAACACCAACTCAAGCGGATATTCCATAACCACGGAAGGCAGAAGCTTGCTTTCATCTTCGTAGCAGATAGTGAGGGTTATCTTATAGGATAAAAGACATAAGCTATGACATTCAAAACCGGGTTGCGCTCGTAGTACTATAGCATTGTGACAGACTTATGTGTGTTCCTTCAATACCATCACGATGTTATGACACTAAAGACATTCTCTAATAAGAAATATTTTTGAATTATCAATGTGTTTCTCGATGTCATCTATGAGTGTTCAATGAACTATTATTTCATCTGCTTGAGCTTATTACTGTTTTCTATGTTCAGGAGGTGACAACTGCCCAGTACTAGTACAGATTCAAGAGACGCTTGTCACGAGGTAGACTTAAGAGACGTAGAAGCAACCCCATCATTACGCAGGTAAATCTAGTTCAGATATGGAAGTGCATGGTTATAATTATAACAGAGCTGAGTTTCCGCTCCTAAAATTTCAATCTTGTATTCCAAGGTAGGCATCCCTCAACAATATCAACATTACACTTCATGTAGACACTTAGTTTAAATTAAACATATTAGTTACCAACTTTTGAGGATATGAGCATTTAAACTTAGTTAATTCCAGGACAACTATAATATGCCGAAGAAGAATATAAGAAACATAAATCTTTCTAGCATACGTAAAAGTTGACGCGCGTGAAGATGTCTTTTGGATCTGATTTCTAGTTTCTAATATTTTAATATTACTTGTAAAAACTTCATAATTGTTAAAACTACTGAGTCCACTTGATGATGAGTGTATTAGCTTCGAGTCCTATATTAATGAGAGATTATAAAACTAAGTCTCATGTCCCAAAGCTAACCATACCAGGACTACTCTCCAACGAATGTTTTAAAGGTCTTGAGTTTAGCTTCCAAAACTCGATATATGATATCATTCAAGTTGATCTAAAAAAGGTGTTCTTAGTGTATAATTGTAAGTTAAAAAGGCATATATGATCACCATTATAGTCAAATACTTATGTACCAGTCAAGTAACTTAAGAAATACTTTACACATGCACCTACATATTGTCATGGATACTCACAAATATTTCCTTAAATCTTAAAAATCGACTTTCTCTATGAGATAAGGTTTCTAAAACTTCTCAGACCGGGGCTTTATTGTCTACTTTGAAGCTTTGTTTAATGTATACTGTAGATGTCTCGATCACTTTGACTTTCTTGCTTTGATTAAGAATGCAGTAAAAGCAACAATATCGAAAGAGCTAGATCTGAGAAGTATCTACGAAGTCGGACAGCAATGCTTAGGTACACATGACAAGAATACCTACATATATGTTCGTCGACTCCTTGGTAGGCTCTTTAGAATATGATGACTCAAATCCACCATTGCCCAGTAGAGGCTTAATATGTATGCGACTTACAAGATATCCCCTTTTCTACGCACGTTTTAACAATCATAACTTACGAATCATTTAAGCCTGTCTTAGGTATTTGACATCTAAAAGGCAATTGGACAAGCGCGCTTAGATGAGGCTGACAATCATTAACAAATAACGCTTCTAAATCTTGAATTATCGAATTGATAGCTGATATACCACACAAAAGACTAAGAATTACTTTTCCACAATTGCAAGGCATGAATTAATACATAAAATATCATCTCTAAGCCTCGAACACTGGCGAGGTTCATCATACGGTAGTTAAGTTTAGTAGTAAGATGCCGAACCATGTCAAAAAGCGCGTCAGCCCTAGCAACAACACAGTCCTCCCATAGACGCGTCATATTAAGATTGACTGTTTTTTTTCAGCTTCGGCTGACCTGGAAAGCTTAAATTCGGAATGAGCAATCCATGAGTAGTTACCATATTTAGCTTCAAGGCAGACGCCGAGGAATCTGAATCACGCGATTCACTTTCCATGTCTTTAACCATCTACCTAGGTAGATACATGACATGTACGTACATACATATCAAATACCTAACGTAACCCTTCCTCCTCCCCCCCCCGGTGAGGTCCGTGGCGGTGGTGGCTCGGTCTACTACATACCACCCCGGATATTATGGTCCTGCAATCAACGCGCACGAGCCCGAAAAAAGCCGTGCAAAACCGAATGCTCGCAAAAAGGAATGAATGCAACACGAGATCGAACTGAAATTTCGCCTTCGCCCGAAGACTACGCGTCGACAAAGAGCCGGAAATGGAAACCCTTGATTACCCCACAGACAAGCGAAGTTGGTGAATATACTAATTTACGATTTATTACTTTTTCCTGCGATGATGATGAGTATGTATGCACATACTGTTATTATTGTTATTATTATGTATTATTAGAACCCTTCCCGCCGCTCGTTCTTCACCCGGCGCGCATATGGGTGGTGGATTGGCTTGGGTATCATTGCATCATGGATTCGCTGGCCTTTACATAGACTCCGGGGGAGGAAAACCCGTTCCAACGATCCGGACGCCCCCCTCTCTTCCATCGGGATCTCTATCTCTGTGGCAAGAGATCGATTGCCAGGTATTAAAAAAGTGCAAGGACAAAAAAAATAGAAGTTACAAAAAGATTGAGTCCAACGTCAGGAATCACAAAGGGAGCCTCTTTAACGTCATAGGACCTTAAGCCTTATGACTAGTGGCTGATTTCTTACTAACTTGGGACTGAGCGAGCCGAAAGGAATAACGCGCGAGTGGTATGTATGAGCGCATAACACGCTTGGTAGGGCGCAAAACCCACAGGGGATCAACCCGCCGCGTCCGATCTGTGCGTCAGCAGAGAGCTCTAACGAACTTGGGATCGTTCGGACGTTAGTAATAAATTAGATGCTAAGGTTAAAACCATCCCAAGGTATGTACACATGTCGCGGTAGCGAGCACACCCTTGAATTATCTGTAACGTCAAAATGTACAGCCTCAGCCTGTCTCGAAAAGTAATGGCGCAGTCTTGGCATTTCCCTCCAAATTTAACACCATATAATATATGTAAAGAAAAGCATAAAAGAAGATAATAAAAAATAGAAAAAAATACCTATTGACTTTTTGGCTTTTATTGTTATTATAGGTATTTTTTATAATTTTATTGCTGTAGAAATGGTGGAATTATAAGTATATTAATATGGTATATTAAAACGTTATTAAAAATGTATGTTTAAAGTTATATTTCTAACGCATTATTATCCTAATAAAAAAAACTAAAATGATAAAAAGGTATAATGGCCTTTTGCAAATAAAACGATATATATTATAATTTTATTACTATTTATTTTGCTTGTATAACTGGTGATTCTTTAAGAAGGGTTAAATGCCAAGACCGCGCCATTACTTTTCGAGACAGACTGAGCCTACGATGGGATTCTAAACCAATTCCACATGGCTAAGCTCCTAGCTCCTTAATTTTTTTTTCCTTAGTTAAGGGTCCTGGTAGTTATGTCGTATCTAAAGTTAGGACAGCTCATACGAAGTAAGGGAGGGTCGATGCGAGATTTCCTGGCACGAAAATCGGATACATCGACCGCCAGAAAGCAACTGTACATATCTGTGTAGCAACAATTGCTTAATGATGCGGTGTGGTAGGGGTCATTGCTTCTTCATGGCTTGGATGGATGGATGGAATACTGGGGATGGTGAATAATTCAGCCCGTTGTGCGGAGTTGCCTCGTCTTGGCTTTTGGCATCGGGGGCGCGTCGCCGCAAGGGTGCTGATCGCGAGGCGAGGTTTTGCTACAACACTAATGCAAGCTCTTTACAGTTGTAACCAGTAGCTTTATTCCGGAACTGGATGTGAGTATGACGAGGAGAGATTTATGTGGTAAACA